ATTTAGTTGCTGTAGGTCAACCTAACTTAAGTCAACCTAATTTTGTAGTGTAGACAAGCCCCTAAGAGAACTATTTACAGAGCAGCTGAAAATGCAGCTAACATTCTAGCCATGTGTACACAGACTGACTTTCCAGTGCTGTGCCCTTCCCTACAAGTTCCAGGTTGGTTGTTACAATTAATATGGTGGTGGGTATGCTGCAGAAAGCTGAGCTAAATAATGGTGAAAGCTGGTGCTGGACTGTCTGGTGTAGTTATTGAAGGTCCTACTTATGCACCGGGCAGGACTTGAGGCTCTCTGAAAATCTTTTCGGATACAGCGCAAAACAATCCCACTGAGCCACTTGTCTACCAGCTCAGCAGCTGCGATGGTGCCAGCTGTTCAGTTCTTTCCAAGGCTACTCATGAAGCAGCTTTTGCAGCACAGGCTCAGCCATCAGTGCATTCGAGGCTTCCAGAACAACCAATACCTTCTCCTGTGATTGCGGCCAGAAAAAAACCCTGGCGTGTTATTATGCTGGGAAATGGGGTGGAGGAGGGAAATCCAGCTCTGTGCTGGTTAACCACAATGGCCATTCCTCAAATATTAACTCAGTTGATTTTACACCGTCAGGGAGGTGGGCGTGTGACCCACAGCTCCAAGGGAAATGCTGCTTTCTTTTCCTCTTCTGTGGCCGTCTGGCTGCCAGGGCAGAGTGCCAGAAAGATGCAAGACCCGAGCTCTAGGAAGGGCAGCTATGGAACTGGAGAACCAGGGGTGGCCTATTGTGGCTTTGGATGGGGCTGATGTTAACGAGTGGAGGCAGCTAGGAGGAATGGGATGAAGCCGAGTGAAGAGAGGTATTCTGTTCAGGTTCCTATACTGAGCCCATCCCCAGGGTATCTGAGGGCCCATCCTAGGCTGCAGAGCAGGGGAGGTGAAAGCTGAGAGACTGTGTGAGAGCCTCCCAATGGCTCGAGATGGGAGCCCAGGCAAATGAGTCATTAATGAGAGCGGGCAGAAGACTGGAGGACATGCTATAGGGAATAGACCTCCTGGGTCTTGGGGCATGGACTGACTGAGTGGCCTGGTAGTGAGTTTCCCACTCCAGTGGAAGCGTCTGCCTAGATGGGCCCCTGATTACTCTGGAGGCAGAGACACAGGGCACAGGAAAACAGTGGGAGCACAGAAAGTTGCATGACCCCAGCTCTATTCTCCTCCCTGCAATGTGCTCCCAGGGCTCCAGGATAGAAGGGGCTCCTGGAAATCTACCTGCCTGCTGCCCCCCCCTCAGTTCCAAGAAAACCACCATAGAAGCAGCTGTAGGCTCAGGTGGAAACCCCACAATGCAAAGCTTCTCTCTGCTCATTACAGCACTGAGCTAAATGCGATCAGCCTCATGGAGGCTCCCATAGACACTAACACCCCTCCTGCCCCCCACGGCATGCGGCTTTCTGCTGGCGGGGACCAGGGCCGGGGAGCCGTGGAACAGGAAAGCCAAACAGACCCGAGAGCAGCGATTAGCAGAGACAGAGGATGAGAAGGAGAGAAGAAAAGAAGCAGAAAAGGAAGGACAGGAGAGAGAAAATGGAACAGAAAACCAAGCTGTTACATAGCACTTTTCATCCCTAGAGCTCAAAGTAAGTCAGTGTCATTATCCCCATTGTACAGATGGGGAAACCGAGGCATGGAGAGATGAAGTGACTTGCCCAAGGGCACCCTGCAGAGCCAGGAATAGAATGTAGCCCAATCCTGCGCTCTAACCACTAAGCCACCTGCTAACGCTGGGCCAGGGCCTGGTATCAGGAGCCCAGTACCAGGAGCCCACGTGGAGCCCGCACAGGAGATGGGTGGGAGCCGCTGGTCTAGGAGGGCTGTTCCATTGTGGAGGCCTCTGATTTTCCAGCCCAAAGCTCGCTAGCGACCAGTAATAGTGCATCTGTCATTAATAGTGCATCTGTCACCAGGAGCAGACTGGGGCCGTCAATCTAAATATGGGGCCGGGGAGAGGATGGCTGGACAGGAAACTTCTTCAGCTAGAGAGTGATCTGGAAGCCTGTGCATGGGGTGGGGAAGCAGGAACTCCTGAGTCCAAATCCCAGCATTGAGAGTGATTGGCTGGGTGGCCTTGGCTAAATAATGTCACCTCCGGCTCTAGGCATCAGTGTGCCTAGCTATCCAAGGGGATTGTAATCCTTCTCTGTCTCACAGGGCTGAGGTGGGTTGACTATAGAGCATTACACAATATACTAAGCTGATTGGCTAGTCAGTGTGAGTCCGCTGTCCTTTGCTGGATTGAATATGAACTGCTCTCCTATGTGTCATAGACCCTGCAGTGCTAATGGTGATTCTCCTCTAGCTCAGCTCACTGGGGTCTGTGGTTTGGGAGCAGTAGGCTCTGAGTTCAAGCCCTGCTGCCACTTTAAAGTTCCATCTGGCTGGGGTGTGCAGCATAGTAGCAGCCTAACCAGCTGTGGGTTTTATTGTTTTATTATTGTTATACCCAGACCAGTATGTTTAAAGGAAGACTCTTGGGGCTGTCCATACTGCAGCTGGGAGCTCTGCTAAGCTAGCACATTAAAAATAGCAGTGTGGATGGTGCTGCATGGGAGCTGCCTGGACTCAGGTGGGCTTGGATTTGGGTGGCTAGCCGGAGCCACCGCCCGGGACAAACGGCCACATGGCTACTTTTAGCAAACTACATCAAGCAGAGGTAGCGTGTGTCTCTCTAACTGGGCTGGGAGTCACACCTCCCAGCTGCAGCAGAGACATGCCTGATGGAACCAGAAAACTGGCTAAGAGAGGAAGACATTTATACAGACCTTAGAGTATTTGTCCTAGAGCAGGGGCGGGCAAACTTTTTGGCCTGAGGGCCACATCTGGTTTCGGAAATTGTATGGAGGGCCGGTTCAGGGAGGCTGTGCCTCCCCAAACAGCCAGGTGTGGCCAGGCCCCCTTCCCCTCTCCACTCCCCACCCCCTGCTTCTTGCCCCGCCCCGGACCTCTGCCCTATCCGCCCCCCCCACACACTTCCTGGCCCCTGACCGCCCCCGGAACCCCTGCACCTGACTGCCCCCCACTGCCCCCTCAAGCCCCTGCTCCTTCCTGACTGCCTCCCCAGGACCCCTGCCCCCATTCAACCCACCTGTTCCCCGCCCTCTGACCGCCACGACCCCATCCACACCCCCACATCCCCTGACCACCACCCCCGAACTCTCCTGCCCTCTAGCCAACCCCCCCGCTCCCTGACCCCTTACCGCGCTGCCTGGAGCACCGGTGGCTGGTGGCTCTGCAGCCGTGCCGTGCGGCTGGAGCCAGCCATGCCCTGTGCAGCTCAGAGCACCGGGGCAGGCTGGGCTCTGCAGATGCGCTGCCCCAGGAGCTTGCAGCCCCAGTGCCCAGAGCATGGTGCTGGCGGCATGGTTCACTGAGGCTGTGGGGGTGGGCGAACAGGAGGCGAGGGGCTGGGGGCCAGCCTCCCGGGCCAGGAGCTCAGGGGCCAGGCAGGAGGGGCCCGCGGGCCGCATGTGGCCCGCGGGCCACAGTTTGCCCACCTCTGTCCTAGAGAGACAGCTAATTACTCCCAGTTCCACAGCGTTCACTGTTAGCTGGGTAGCTCCTCACTGCCACTTATCGCCCTGCAGCTCTTTGCAGCACAGAATTGAACACGTACTGTGCACCACTCTACAGCAGGGGGCAGAATTTCAGCAGCGAGCAAAGAACTGTTCAACAGGCAAAAGCGGCAGGGAAAACAGGGGCTCGACATTAGTCAGTATCCCACTGGGCACGGGGTTTAAAAGGCTACTATGCTAGCTGCCCGTGACGTTGTAGTAGTGGAGACAGCGGACCCTAGGCAAAGGGGAGAGGAGGGAATAAAAGGAGACTAGTGAATGGAAAAGTCACTGGGCGCGTTTTTTAAAACTATGCCGAGCTCAACCATAAGATAGGGGCTGGATGCAGGAATTGCTGGGTGAGGTTTTCTGGCCTGGGCTATGCAGGGGGTCAGACTAGATGAACGCAATGGTGCTTTCAGGCCTTACAAGCAATGAAGCTCTGTCTGACAAGCGAGGAAGAAACACCATTGTGAGGCAAAGGAATGCAACCGTGAAGCTCTTAAGAAAGCAGCAGGGTAACACAGGACGTAAACGAAAGCTGCACAAATCACAAGGTTTGAGATCCCCTTCCAAAGTTCCCCAGGAGTTGCGGATTAGACTCGCTTGACATTTTTACAAATGAAGAGCTGGGAGGCGGGTTGCAAAATCTTTCGTTGCGAAAAAATGGCCGCCATGGTTTGGTTTTCGTGAAAATATTTGTGACTTTCGTAAGCTTAAGTTTTACTGAAAAAAATGCGTTTCGCTTCTCAAAACCAGCAGGTTTTAAATGAAAACCGTCAGAACTGTTTTCTGTACAAGCTTTGATTACGAAATGTATTAAAAACAAACTAACGGCTAACGGATGCAAACGCCACCAAGATGTCAAACTTCTGGAGAAAACCAGTTTCCTACAAGCTCTCTTGCTGGTGATGCTTCCCCTTTAAGGCAGGCAGCTTCCCTGGGACCTGCTGGTTCTGCTGGTCCACTGGATCCTTTGAATGCTGGCCTGGTGCTGGGATACAACCAACACAGGCGACATTAGCACCTTCCTCTCCTCCTGGGCTGCGCTTCTTGCCAGATTTACATTTCAGACCCATCATTGCAACAAGGGAACGGAGCACAGCCTTGGGACTGGGAGCCAGCCCAAAGCTGGCTTACAGGTAGCTGTCTGGTTGCTGTAAATTGAGGGACTGCCAGCGGACACAGCAAATCAGCATCATTCAGTGCCCTGCGACAGCAGTGTTATTAGCAATGATTTGCTCTTCTATGCATTTAAACCTACTGCTGAACAGACAGCAGCCTCACGGGGGGCAATACAGTAAGACATCAACATTCCTCCTTAGCTGGCTATGTTATTGGAGGGTCAGCCTCCTTTCGCGAGGCTGTTTGACTAGGCAGAGCTACAGACTGGTCTTCAGAAACAATGAGGAGTCCTTGTGGCACCGTAGAGACTAATAAATTTATTTGGGCATAAGCTGTCGTGGGCTAAAACCCACTTCATCAGATGCATGGAGTGGAACATACAGTAGGGAGGTATAAATACACAGCATATGAAAAGATAGGCGTTGCCTTACCAAGGGGGGGAGGTCAGTGTGAATGAGCCAATTCAATTAAGATGGAAGTGGGCTATTCTCAACAGTTGACAAGAAGGGGTGGAAATCACTTTTGTAGTGCTAATGAGGCCAATGTAATCAAGGTGGCTCATTTCAAACAATTAACAAGAAGGTGTGAGTAACAGACTCCAACAAGAAATGGCAGCACTGGAATTAATTTGCAAACTGGACACCATCAAATTAGGCCTGAATAAAGACTGGGAGTGGATGGGTCACTACAAAAACTAATTTCCCCCTGCTGATAATCCCAGCGCCTCCCGCCCGCAGCAAACAGCTGTTTTGTGGCTTGCAGGAGGCTAGGAGGGAGGTGAAGGGGGGAGGAGCGAGGACGCGATGCGCTCAGAGGAGGAGGTGGTCCTGACAGGAAGAAGTGGGGCCAGGGTGGAGCAGGGGCGGGAAGAGGTGAGGCTCTGTTTGTCGTCTCTGCCAATGGACCTTGCCCTTCTGAAGCAAAGAACATTCTTGATTCAACTGATGAAGGTGCCTTTCCATTTGAAACTGTAAGACTCCGGAGCTCAGCTGTCTTGAAGGCAACATTCAGAAAAGTGGGACTTGGTGATTTCTGGATTCCATATGCTGCCCAGTTTCAGAATAGCCAGAATCCAGCCATCTATCTTTTAATAATGTTCGGATCAATGTACCTCTGCGAATCTGGGTTTTCTACTATGACCTTTATAAAAAAACCAACCCTGCAGTTGCCTGACAGATGAGCATCTTCACCAGTGCATGCGCCTTGCCCTGATCTCCTACAAACCACTCCTCACCAAGCCTGCCAGAGTCATCGATCTCACCTCTCCCAGTAGAGATTGCCACAAACACAGGGAATAATGGTGATTTGTAGACTTGGTTAAAAGATAGAAACACTAATATTTGTGTTGCAGTCAAGGTCTTTATTTGTTGGCAGCTGAAATTATTCTTTGTTTTTAATTTTGTCAGCCTTCTGCGCAAATGGCCCGCCTTGGGTCATAAAATTCTCCAGATCTAATTGAGTATTGCTGCCTTACCCTCGCCCAATGCAACACTGATTCCTCCAGCATACTGTGCAGGCCAGAGTCACCCCGTTAGGGGGTTGCTCTGGCTATTCAGTCTCCCTTTGCTTTATTTTCCCCGATAGACCAAACTCTGCTCTAAATGACACTGGTGCCAACCTAGGGTTGAAGTCAGTGAATAAGTCCAGACTTAACATGGTCAGTGTAACTGAAATCAGACTCTGGCCCTCGGACTAGTTCCTCCCCCTTGGCCCATGGGAACTTCCTAGGAACGGCATCACGCCCTTTCTGCTGTTCTTGTTCCCTAGCTGAGCCAGCCCCGGCGCATCCAGCTGCCTCTTTCTCTCCTTACAAGTGCCCTGCTCCCCTCCCACTGTGACTTTTGTTCCATTCCCCCCTCCCAGCCCCTCCTGGATCCTTAGACTCAATATGCAGCAGAGGAAGCCTTGCTGAGACGTGCCTTGGCAGCAGGCCATATTCCCTTGCAGCCAACCAGCTGGCGTTTCCAGGTGGTCCCTGCTTCTGGCTCTGATGGTGGTGAGTTTCCATCCTGCAGCTCTTTCCATGCCTTTGGATTGGGTGGAGTGGTCACGCTCTGCTCCGGCCCTTAGTCGTTGGGGTCAGGGCCGCACTGCCTTCGGAACTCCTGCCCGTGTTCGTGGATCCATTTGTTTGCCACTGTAAGAGACGGGGGCGACGCACACTGAGAGAGGGCGGCACTGGGCGTCCGCACGGGTTCAACACGAGAGTCTCAGAGGCTGAGGTGGAGGAGAAGCTCAGGCGTTCAGCCCATCTGCCTGCTGCTGGGGGATCATGCCCTGCAGCATACAGGGAGCAGGGAGCAGTCAGGACTAAGAGCCAGGGGTTCGTTCCTAGTCCTGGCTCAGACACGGACTCAAGTCAAGCATCCCAAATTGCTCGGGGCCAGATATTCAAGGGCTCTGCCCCCACCCCCAGCGGTCTGAGTTGTGTTTGAAAATCCGGCCACTTATTTGGGTGACTCCATAGAGGCTGAACATTCTGGTGTGAAGTGCTCCCTGCCTCAGTTTCCCTAAAGTTCTAAAATGGAGAGAGTAACAGAGATGCCAGGAAGGGATACAGACACTCCTGAGTCAGCCAATCCACTGAAGAGGCCAGAGGGAGAACTCCCCGATGAGCTGGTAATTCTGCCATCACCCACCTCCTAGGCCTTTCTTACCTCTTCTCCTGCAGTTAGCTCTGGCCACTGTCAGAGATGGGATGATTGAGTGTAAAGCCACTAATGCTTGGAAAGCCCGTGGAGAGCCTCAGGTGGGAGGCGTTCTCGAAGGGCAAAGGGAGAGTGTGCGTTGCCGGAGCCTGGGGCAACTGACTGGGGCTCACGGGCTCGGGCTACAAATGGCCACGTAGCCGTTGTGGCTCGGGCTCTGCAGTCTGGGGAGGCGGATGGGCTTCGGAGCCCGAGCTCCAGCCTGCGGGGCTCTTCTTAGGGCGGTCGCCCAAGCCGCGCGAGCCCCAGTCCATCGAGCCGGGCTGCTCATTGCGTAGAGACACCGAGTCGGATCGCTCTGGGAGGGAGCTGGCAGCGTGGCGCTCACTCCCTGGGCAGTGCCAAGCTGCTGCAGCCACAGGAGCTGGGGAACCCGGCGGGCAACGCGCTCGGTGGCTGTAGAAAGTGGAGCCAGAGCTACACCTCCCTCCCTGCGACAATGCGGGACGGCTCCCTAACCGGAAAGCATGGCCCGTAGGATGGGAAGGAACCTTCTGGGTCACTGACACAGTCCCCTGCTAGCGCAGGCAGCCCCGGCCCATCCTCCCCGTCAGAAACTGCTCAAGACTAAGGGAAGGTGCAAAGCAGGCTGAACTGAAGCCGGAGCAAGCTCCGTGCCGGGGTGCTGGGAAGACGCAGGCCCCAAACTCTGGGCTGGCTGCCATCTTCACGGGGAGGGAGCTAGTTCAGCTTTTATTTACACCCCAGACTAGCTTTATTTTTAAAGCCTCCCTCCCCTTTTGAAGGATTCTCATTACTATGGCAACAGAAACTGTCCCAGGGCTGGGCAGAGCAGGCTAGCATGATGAGAAGTAGTAAGCCCCGGTGCTTTCCTAGCACGTGCCATTGGGCCTTCGCCAAGCACTGAATGAACCATGCATGAACCCTCAGACAGCCCCTCTGTCCCAAGGCAGCATTAGCTCTGCAGCTGGGGAAACTGAGGTATAGCGGGGATGTGAAAGGACTCAGACACAGCGGGGACTAGACCCCCAGGAGCCCTGACTCCCTGGCCCCTCTGTTCTAATCACTAGACATTGCTGCCAACTGCCATAAAGGTCATTTCTGTGATTGTTTGTAATTTAAACCATCCCACTTTTGCACGTGATATACATTTGCTTGTTAGACACCACCCAAACAGGCAGCTAGGAAAGGCTGATTCCCCACTGTGTCTGAGTCTCTTCATCTCCCCGCGGTACCTCAGTTTCCCCAGCTGTGTTTATTTTAATGTGGTCTCTGTGTGTTGTGAGCCTCTGAGCTCTCAGAAGCTAAGCAGGGTCATGATGGCTTAACACATGCACGGGAGACCTCCACAAAGAGCTAGAGCAGAGATGCGGCAATCCAGCAGGGGGTGCTCTGGTGCTAGAGGCACACGGTTTTCCTGGAGGTTTTGGCATTTGGAGGAGATGGAAAACTAAGCTCCTGACCACTTGTGGCTGTTAAAGGTCTCGAGTCACTTTTCACAAGCGTCAGGGCGTGCTGGCCAAATTCTACTTCTGGACCTTACACCGTGGTTCCCTAAATTCTCCCCATAGTGTCAGTCAGATACAGTATTCTCCACTTCCTGTCCTAAACTGTCATGCAGCACTGCTGTGAACAGTTAAACAGCTGCCAGGCTTCACCCCAGAGGTGGCTGCATTTCAGAAGGGGTGAAGTGGTATTTAAGTATCCCGCACCTAGACATCATTTTTTGCAAAGTGCTTGGAACTCCTGTTGCAGAGGATTATTAGTGTTTCAAAGGTGTCTCTCATCTGCTGCCCGGTCCCTCTGTCCCGTGGCTATTTTGGCATTGCAGCACCATCTCATCCCTACTTCCTGCCTGTACTAGCATGCCCATCCTGGGCAGACAGAGTGACTAGCTTGTTGCCCTCTGTCAGGCCATCCTTTCTCCGGGTTTCACTGCACCAGGGTTTCAAACAACAGAACACCTGATCAGGGAGGCTAGCGGGCTGTGCATTGTGATGATCTCCGGCGTCTCTTACCCCACTTGTCTCCTGCGAGGACTGGGCAGCCGGCGTGGAGGGTGTCCCCGTTCCCAGCTCCGTTCCTGTGAAGGTTCCACCAGAACAGAGCTGCATTCTGGAAATGAGACAAGATGCGTGATGGCTGGAGGGGGCTCCCTCAGCAGCACGCGGCGCCCACTGGTGAGCGAGTCGGGTTCTGTCGCGGCTCATTCACAGCAGATCGGAGTCTGCTGCAGTCCCTTCTTGGGAGGTGTAGTGTTTTTAGCTCTGGCGTTCCCCAGTTCCGTCCCCCAGCACGGCGGCTGTCCCACACACATCCATGCACTGGAATGACCTGTCTGTGTCTGTGGTGCCCAAGGGACATGCTAGTTTCATTGCTCAGGAAGAAAAGCTGATGGAGGAGCAGTTTACTGTATAGACACACTTGTTATTCGGCCTGCTCCCAGCCTTCCCATTAAACTGGAGGGGTCCGAGACAATTGCTTTGCAAAGGCTGCAAACTGCCGCTGCTGCTTAGCACTCCCTGGGGAAGGAGACCCCACAGCACAATGGGGGCAACAGCTGTCTTGTGGCTACAGCACTGAATCATGGGTCAGGAAATCTGGCTTCTGTTCCTGGCTTGGCCACTCCCGACAGTGTAAAGGGGCTTTCGGGGGCCCAGGTATCAGTAAGCCGCTGGTGCCACTGCAAATCTTCTGCATTGCTCAGATTACAACGCTTCACGGTCTGAGTCCAAAATTAGATTCACCTTGTAACGATTCCATCCCCTGTGGGGACAGGCACCACCCTCTGAATTGGGCAATCAGACATATTTGGGTCTGAGCACAGGCCCAGGAGCCAGGATATGAGGGTTCTAATCCCAGTGCTCATCCTGTGCTCTTGGGCAAATCAACCTCGGTGTGCCTCAGTTTCCCCATGTGTAAAATGGTGATAATAATGCTACTTCCTAGGCGTTTCGAGGCTTAACTTGTAAAAGATTTTGAGATCCTGTAGTGAAAGAGGCAATAGCAGGGCAATGTATTATTTAACCATTACCTAAGCCACACACCAGCTCTAGAAGGGAAGAATTATCATCTCCCTTTCACAGGTGAGGCAGAGATTAAATGCAATTCAGATGAAATTCTTCCTAGGGTACTTAACAAACTAGCTGAAGCAATCTCAGAACCATTAGCAATTGTCTTCAAGAAAACATGGAGGATGGGTGAGGTTTCAAAGGACTGGAGGAGGGCAAACCTAGCTCTTATCTTTAAAAAGGGGAACAAGGAGGCCCTGGAGAATTATGGACAGTCATCTTAACTTCAATCCCTGGAAAGATACTGTAACAAATTAGTAAACAATCAGTTTGTTAGCACCTGGAGGATAACAGGGTTATATGAATAACCAGCATGGATTTGTCAAGAACAAATCGCACCAAATGAGCCTAATTTTCTCTTTGACAGGGTTACTGGCCGGGTGGCTAGGAGGCAAGCAGAAGACATGCTATATCTTGATTTCAGTAAGGCCTTTGACACAATTCCACATGACATTCTCAGAAGCAAACTAGGGAAATTTGGTCAACATGAAATTACTAGAAGGTGGGTGCACAAGTGGTTGAAAGTCTGTATTCAAAGATAACGAGGAGTCCTTGTGGCACCTTAGAGACTAACAAACAAATTTATTTGGGAATAAGCTTTCCTGGGTAGTAGTTATCAATAATTACTGTCAAACTGGAAGGGCAAATCTAGGGTGTGTCCAGCAGGGGTCAGTCCTGGGTGTAGTACATTTCAATATGTCCATTCATGACTTGGATAATGAAGTATGTGTATAAAATTTGCAGGTGACGCCAAGCTGGGAAAGGCTGCAAGCATGCCGGAGGACAGGATTCGAATTCAAAATGACCTTGACAAATTAGAAAATTCGTCTGAAATCAACACTGGTGAGCCCCCAGCTGGAGTACTGTCTGGGCACCACACTTTAGGAAAGATGTGGCTAAGTTGGAGAGAGTCAGAGAAGAGCAACAAAAATGATCAAAGGTTCAGAAACCCTGACCTAGGAGGAAAGGTTGAAAACCTGGGCATGTTTAGTGTTGAGTAAAGCAGACTGACCGGAGGACCTGATAACCGTCTTCAGCTCTGTTCTAGAGAGGACGGGGATCAATCGTTCGCCACGTCCACTGAAGGGAGGACAAGAACTAGTGGGCTTAGTCTGCAACAATGGAGATTTATGTCCGGGGTTCTCAAACTTCATTGCACCACGACCCCCTTCTGACAGCAACAATCACTACAGGACCCCAGGAGTGGGGGGCCAAAGCCCGAGCTGCACTGCCCCAGGTGTGGGGGCCAAAGCTGAAATTCAAGGGCTTCAGCCCCAGGCAGGGGGCTTAGATATTAGGAAAAGCTTTCTGTCTCTACGAGTAGTTAGACTCTGGACTAGGATTCTAAGGGAGACTGTGAAATCCCCATCACTGGATGTTTTTAAGGAAAAGGCTGAACAAACACCTGTCAGGGATGGTCTAGTCTAGCGCAGGGGGCTGGACTTGGTGACCTCTCAAGGTCCCTTCCAGCCCGACATTTCTCTGATTCTGTGATTAAGTGATTTGCCCAAAGCCCTAGGACACTGGTGGTAGCACTGGAATTAGAACCCCCAGATCCTGGCTGCCAGGCCTGTGCTCAGACCACACTTCTCCCCCCACAAATATGTCTGATTACCCAGTTCAGAGTCCCTCCAGAATTGACCTCATCCTGCTTCCTCCCCAACAGGTTACACTTAGTGGGAACTGTCCCTACAAGACAGTGATGGGAAGAGGGTGGTGCCTGTTCCCACAGGGGATGGAATCATTACAAGGTGAATCTAATTTTGGACTCAGACTGTGAAGCGTTGTATTTTGAGCAAGGCAGAAGGTTCGCAATGGGCCAGTGGCTCACTGACACATGGGCCCCGAAGGCCCCTTTGCACTGTCGGGAGTGGGGAAAAGGGGCTCAGTGGAAATGAGGATCAGGCCCAATCAAGCCCCAAACTGTGAGAAACTCACCTGGTTTGCAGCTTCTCAGCCCAGGTTCAAGCAAACACCTCCAGAGTGCAAGCCCGAACCCCCCTCTCCCCCAAATCTCCAGGAAAAACCAGTTCCAGAGTGGAACCTTGCAGCTCACCCCTAGCTATGCAATGGGCTGAACCAAACTCCCAGATCCAGCCACTCCCGAACTCCAGAGAAGTCTGGATCTGGATTGTCATGGCTCCTGCCTGGAATGGGACGGGTGTTTGGAGAGAGCGTCCCTGTGTGTTTGGGCGGGGAGGGAGACTTAGCCAAACTCAAACACACTTTGCAGGATGCCAAACATTTGCACAAGCCAAAGCTGCACCCAGCTCCCTGCGTAATGGGGACACACAAGGAGCTGGCGCCTGTCCCCTGGGAACAGCCTGCTTGGCACATTCCAGCCCTGAGACGTGACCGCGGTTCCTGTTGTCCAGCCAGAGCAGCTTCACGGCCAGCTGAGCACTGACTAGCGGGTTCTGTGGTCTAACAGTGAATGTCCCCAGAGAGGGAGCTTCCACCGCGGCCCCTGGGAGAGGTTTCCACTTGGGAGGTGTTACTCATGGAACAGATGAGGAAATGGCAGACTGGAGTTAATGGTCCAGGTACCTCGTGGGGTGGCTGTCCCTTCCCAGCTGTGCTGGAGAGACTATATTTCTAGAGATCATGCTGGAAAAAACTCCCACTCACCTTGACCACAGGCACACTGAGGTTTGCATAGATAAAGGCAGTGGATCCTCCGGCTTCTACTGAGCTCAGCTGGAAAACAAGGGCAGCACTCAGTGTAACACTGTGTGTTTGCAAAGCCTCTTTCACAGGGGGCGCTTTACCAAGGAGGCTGCTTTGCACGTGGGGAAACTGAGGCACAGAGCGACGCTTTGATTGGCTTGAGATCACACGGCCTTCAAGGCCCTGCACAATTCTGCCCCTCCCTGCTTGTCTGTTCTTGTCTTTTATCACCTTGCTCCCTTGAGCTGCCAATGCTGCCTTGAAGCCAATTTGTTGGCTTCTCTCACAGACTTCTCTGTATTTTTTTAACACTGCCTGGAATGTCCTACCTGAGCTAACTCATGCCACGGTGCACATAATGAACACCCACAAGGGAAGAGCTAGGCTGGTGTTAGCTACTGACTGGCTCATTGTACCAACGCTGTGCCGAGGTTCTGTAGAATCTGAGCTTTCATTTGAAACCATATGTCTAGCCCTAGTAATGGGAAGAAAACCTCCTGCCTGTGACATGATGGGGGGGCTGTAACCCAGAGCTCAGAGAAGTGTTGGGTGCCTTAATCCATCTCAATTGGGTGTTGACCCTGAACCCTACTGACACCCTGAAACATTCTTAACTCTTTCCCTGTTGATCCTTTTAATCAGAAACATCCAGCTGGTCTGGGATTGCGGACAGAGCTTGTATAGAGCACATTCGCTCCTAGTCCAACCCCTGCAGCTGGGAATAGAAACCAGGAGGCTCCCTGCTCTAACCACTAGCCCACCACACATCTCATTGCCTGACTTGGTTGCAGGCTGCAATTCAGCTTAGCGTGATCGAGGCTCCCTTCGAATGATATCCCTAGACATCTTTTAATCACCCTTCACACTCACTAAGAAACAAAAGCCTGCCCAGGCCCCAGCTGGCAGGGAATACTCACATAGATCATGACTGTGGCCAGTCTGTTACCCGACTTCATTCTGTAAAGGGGGCTCTTTCTTGACTGCATCAAAAGAGAACAGTTGTTCATTCACGGACCCAGCACTGCTGCACTATTCATAACAGAGCTTAATGTTACCAGTGCTATGGGACATGGCCCTGCGCTCAAAGGAAGCAGTTCAGGCCAAAAGCCCGATCTACCTTAATAAGATCCACTGTGCCCAGTTGCCTGCAATGTTGAGACAGAAATTAGAAATTAACAACAGGAAAGGCCAATGGACAAGGTCACCTATGCCAATTTGCATCTGCCACCTCAGGGCCAGTAAGCAAATAATCTTGTAGCAGATTCCTAAACATGACTGCTATTCGAAGCATATGCACTGAATTCTGCCATATTTACCACCCCTTACATCAAGGCCTGCAAATCTTTACCAGGATTGAAGCAATGAACACTGGGCAGATTCTGATCTAAGTTACACTCACGCTAATCAGGAGTCACTCTACTGAAATCAGGTGTCACCCAGGTGTAAACAGGTGCAAGGGAGAGCAGAACTCAGCTTATGGTATAATATGTGTAGAACTGGCTTTAAAATGCCAATAAGTTTTCACTGGAAATGTGAACTTTTTTCATTATTTCAAAATGTCCCGTGGAAATGTTTTGTGTTTTCATTGAACTATCCCAAGCCAAAACCGGGAGATTTTCCTGTAAAATGTTTCCATTTAAAAACACTGATTTTTTTTTAACCCCATCTTTGGCCATCTTCTCTGTCCCAAGGAGACAACAGCCCTTGGGGTTCCAGAAAGGAAGTATTTTTTAAGTCAGGTGGAAAGGATCATGCGAAAGAATCCTGTGATAAATGAAAGGGGGGGTGGGGAATAGCTCCCTTTTATGGACCCAGTCAGCCAGTTAGCTATAAAATCCCTCTTCGTAGCTGTTCTCTACTTGCTTTACCTGTAAAGGGTTAAAAAAGTCTGACTGCTTGCACAGGTAAAAGGAAGGGAGTGGGCACCTGGCCAAAAGAGCCAATGGGAAGGCCAGAACTTTTTAAAGTTGAGGAAAAAACTTCCCCTTTGTCTGTCTGTGTTGTTCTCCGGAGCAGTGATGCTGTAAAAACTTTGGACCAGGTATGAAAAATCATCAGATCATACCTAGAAAGTATTCATTTAAAACCCCAGATATGTAAGTAGATCAGGAAATGTCTAGGAAGACGAGAATAGGTTTATCTCTGTTTATTTCTTTATGGCTTGTGGACTCCTCTGTGCTAACTCCAAATGCTTTTGTTTTGCTTGTAACCTTTAAGCTGGACCTCAAGAAGGTTATTCTTGATCCTTAATTTTTGTAAGTGGGTTCTTTAAATCTAGCAATAGTCTGAGTTTCCAGATGTATTTTCTTTCTTTTTTTTGTTCTTAATAAAATTTACCTTTTTTAAGAACAGGATTGAATGTTTGTGTCCTAAGAGGTTTGTGCATATGTTGTTTAATTACCTGGTGGCAACAGCTGATTTCCTTTGTTTTCTTCCTCAGCTCTTCCCCGGAGGGGGGCTGAAAGGGCTTGAGGGTGCCCCACAGGGAGGAATTCCCAAGTGCACCTTCCTGGACTCTCAAAGGGGTTTTTGAACTTGGGTGGTGGCAGCATCTACCCATCCAAGGTCAGAGAGAAGCTGTAACCGTGGGAGTTTAATACCAGGCTGCAGTGGCCAGTGTTAATGTTTAGAATCCTTGTGGACCCCCATAAAGTGCCGGAGTGGGGAATCAGCCCTGACACACCCCAGGAAATAGACTGATCAGCACCACAGCCCTGGGGCGGTACTGAAACACAGGACACTGCTGCATGGCACGGTGCCAACAGACGCCAATGGGAGGCCTCCCGTAGACTTCAGTGATCATTGGCTCAGGCCCTGTGTGAAGATGACCCATTGTGATCCAGTCTCACGGGCTTTGTTACTCACTGTGGCATGGTCAAAATGAGGCTCATAGTGTCCACCTATGCCATAATTCACCACCTGTAGGTACTCCGCATACGGTGGCCGAATGTTCAAGCCAGTCAGGGCTGCAATCCTCTGATCGAGTGACACGATCACAGGGTCGACCGTGTCCTTCAGCCAGGCGCTAGAATGCACAGCAGACAAGCTCAGAGGGGTCGCCCAGAACAGCTGGCAGAAGGATCCCCAGGTGGAATCTGTTCTAAATGCCCAACGAGCCAGAGTCAATCGAGTTCCACCAGGGAAGAGCTCCCCAGGGACGAATTTGGCCCCATGTGCAGTAGGCTCAGGGTTATTGTCCTTATTGGACGGATAGGGGAAACTGAGGCACAGAGAGACAAAGGGCCAGATTTTTTAAAAGGGAAAATCCACTTCATAGAATTATAGAATATCAGGGTTGGAAGGGACCTCAGGAGGTCATCTAGTCCAACCCCCTGCTCAAAGCAGGACCAATCCCCAATTTTTGCCCCAGATCCCTAAATGGCCCCCTCAAGGATTGAACTCACAACCCTGGGTTTAGCAGGCCAATGCTCAAACCACTGAGCTATCCCTCCCCCCAAACTCACCCAGTGAGTCTGTGGCAGAGCCAAGACCCCGCCCCAGGTCTCCTGTTTCTGAAACAAAATCAGCTTTTCTCCTGCCTCTAACATGCTGCCAGTGGCTGAATGCCTCACTCAGAGCAGAGGCCATTCCAAACAGAGATGGGGGCATGGCAGCTGCTGTCTGAAGGTTGGCAGGTAAAATGTGTCCAGTGAAGGGATCTTTACTTTCCTGGAGCTGGTTTCACTGGGCGCAGCCCTGGAAGCTTCTTGATGTACCCGGACTATTTATGTCAAAGGCCTTTGCAATCGTCCTGGAGGCAGTGTGTTTTGGATCAGTGCATGGAAACCGTATTCTTCTACCAGATCTGTTTGCTGACATTGGCGCTGCTGTGGGCCAGCCTTTCAGAGTGTTCCAGAATCTAATCATCTGCCAGATTCTGTTCTCCACTTCAGCTAGAAATAGACTAGAACCAGCACGCTGGAGCCAAACAGAACGGGGTGGGATTGGGGGTACGAAATCTAAACCCAACACTAAATTCCATGAACGGCACCTATTTTATTCTTCTTCTTCTATGACATTTGTACCTAGAGGCCTCAAGCACAGTCAGTGGCTCATTGCGCTAGGTGCTGTACACACACACATAGTCAGACAGGTCCAGATCCTCAAAGCCACTTAGGCACCTAATTCCCTTTGATTTCAATGGATGCCCAAATACCTTTGAGGATCTGGGCCATAGTCCCTGCCCCAAAGAGCTTACAATAGAGAAGACAGACAGAAGGTGGGGACAGGGAAGAGGTATTGTATCCCCATTTTACGGAAGGACAACTGAGGCTCAGAGAGGTTCGGGTATATCTATACTGCGATAAAGACCCAGGGCACGACCGCGGCCGGCCCAGGTTGGCTGACTCAAGGGGGGAGGGCCTCAGACATCCGTGAGCCAGAGCGACCCTGCCAGTCCAAAGAGAGAATATTGCAAAGGTGCAAAAGCCACCCTGCTCCCCACCACCCACCCTGTCGGTGCCAAGGACTCAGTGCCAACGTTGTCAGTGAGAACCCAGAATGGCACCAGCTGGCAGAAGAGTGGCCACACTGGGGCTGGCACCAGTCTAGCTAAATTGCAAATTCTGTGTGCGGACCAAGCCTCGGGCTGAGCTACATAAACACGGAGGATCCTGCCTTAAGCTGCTGCTGCATCCACTTTGGGGTTTCCGGGAATGTGCAGAAAGGCGGGGGGACGGGCCCAACAATCCTGAGAGGGCAGGAAAGAAAATCATCTCTTTCATCTCAACGGCCGCCTCTTGCCAATGGCCATGAACTGCTGTCCACATGGTGGAGTCACATTCCGCAGCGCGGGAGAGTCATCGGGGCAGAATGTAGCCCGCAGAGCCCCATAAGGAACAAATCATCTGCTGGCTAACAAATAACTGAATCCCACCCAGACGTACGTCTGAAGCGCCTCATTTGTTCCATTGTTTTTCAGCCAGAGGGATTTTCAGTGTCATTACAAGATCTGTGGAGAATCCAGGTTCACACCCAGAACATTAAACCTGGAGACAATGCCGGTCTTGCTTTTTATATTGTACCTAGATAGTGACTACTGTGGTCTGCTGGTTCGAGCAGGGGCTTAGGCATTAGTACGGCTGGATTCGGTCTTCCCTCTGCCACTGACTTACTGTGTTGCCTTGGACAAAGTCTCTGTGCCTCAGTTTACCCCACCTGTACGACAGCAGTCATTATACTAACAGGTACCTCATTACAGAGGCAGTAGCTAGAATTAATGACTGAATATAAAGGGCTTTCAGCTGCTCAGCGGGGAAGTGCTGTGCGTAGACTGGGTTTCTCTATCAGATGCTGTGCACATTGGAGATGAGTTCGTCTGGTTAGGGGATCTAGGTCTTCGTCTTTTAAATTAATTTATCTAGTTATCATTTCCTTCTCCCCACAGTTTAATCCCCCCTCCTTTTTCTGGGTCCTGTCATGACAAACACCTTCTCACTGGCAATGGGGTGACCTCTGCCAATGCCCCTGCTGCCTTCTTTAGCAGCCCCCTGGAGCTGCAGGGGTTAAAAGTTACCCTCCCCATCTGGCTCTGGGCCTGGGAATGGAATTCCATTCAACGGGGCGTCTGGGGATGAGGCTGGGAGGCTGAGCCTGGAAATATTTTACTGGGATCACTATCCCGTGCCTGGATTCTGGATTTAACTCTTTCCTCCTCTGCAGGGAGCCAGGATAACTGTCCTCTCTGTCTCAGCGAAGTTTCCCCAGCAAGCGACCGTCTGAGTTCCAGCCATACATTCTCTTCCCGCGGCACTGAAAAGCCTGTCACTGCAGGGGAACTCAGAGACCAGGAATGGGATCCGCAGCCCCGCACTCCGACGATACTGGTTGAAACCCAGCCTAAGGTGAGAATGGTCTAATGTCCCTCCCATCGGAAATTGGTCAGTATCACTCCCATCTCACAGCTGTTTGCTCACCTCGCTTTGCGTCATCACGGGACCGTGGACACTGGAGCCAGAGGTGCAGTTTCCCGCTGGAGCGACCTTACCTGCGCTAGCTCTGATTGAGCTAGTGTGCTAAAAATAGAAGCGGCCGTCCGGGATATGGACCCAGGGTCTCAGATGGGCTCCTACTCGAGGCAGCCGGTCCGTCCCGCTGCTTGCACAGCCAGACTCTATTTTTATTGCGCTAGCTCGATTGACGCAAGCGCAGGCCCTCCCCTCAAGCTGGGAATTGCCCCCCCCCCCAGCTCCGGTGGAGACGCACCCTGGGAAACAGAAGTTCCCAGCTCCTAGTGAGAGGTGATTGCAGAGGCCTCAGTACTGTTCATTGTTTCCTGTCAGGGAGTCCTTGGCCATCCCACTCTGCCCCAGATGGTCTAAGTCTGGCCCCCTCAAGGATTGAACTCACAACCCTGGGTTTAGCAGGCCAATGCTCAAACCACTGAGCTATCCCTCTCCCACAACTGGAGTTGTCACTTGGGTACCAATAGCAGTGAAGCCAAGGCAGCACAGACTAGCCACCCCAGTACAAGCTCTCCAGGGAGCCTGGGTACATAATCGGGCAGCAAGCTCGTGCTGCTGCAGCTTCATTGCTATTGGGACCGGAGCTAGCTCAGCCAGGTCCACACGTGCTGCAATCCCCCCATTGCAGTGTAGACGTACGCGGTGTGTTTGTACAGCACCTAGCACAATGGGACGCTGCTCTAGTCGGGGGCCCTCTAGGTACTGCTGTAATATGATTAACAATAAGACGGGGCAGACAGGGCATGAAATTCCAGCTGTGAGAACCCTGGCGCCCAAATGTTGTGGGGGAGGGGTTAATTACCTCTTACTTATCCGGTACTCGGCTTTCTGCTGCTTCTCTTCTGAGGCAACCACTGATCTCTGCAGCTGAGCAACAGGGAGACAAGAGCACACGAGATAGTCGGGGACGTAACAAATATGGGACCTGCAGTCGCATGGGGAGGCCGACAGGCACCTACACTCCCAGGTGGATTGAGGCAGGAGCTATGGATCTGTGCATTCAGGCTTTGCGCCGGGATGGGGCCCACAAAGTGGGGATCCAAGCTGGGGTGCTATTAGCCAGCCAGTGAGAGCCAGGCACCGAGCCGCCTGCTGCTGCGCCGCTGGCTGGCATCGCCAGCCCGGCAAGTTCTCTCCCCACTGAGGCTCAGGTGTAGCCGTGGCCGTGGGAGGAGGGGATGGAAGGCTGGCCACCAGCTGAGCTGCAACCCGCACAGTCCTCCCTGTAATGGGGCAGGCCCCGCGAGTGCCGCGATGAGCCACTCAGCACATACCAGACAGTGGGAGAGAGAGGAGAGCTGGGCCCAGCAAGAGGCTGAGCTTGGGTGGCTCTCGTACAGTCCCAGGCCTACAGCACTGACGACTTGTCAGTCCTGGATTCAGTTATTAATTTCCCCGTGGGCTGCTTTGCTCCAGTACCAAGGCACCAGGTCTTCCTCCGGGAGCCCAGAGAGGCAGCTAAAGGCATGAGGTTTACTTCAGAACAAACCGATTAAATGCGGGGCTGAGGAGCGGATGGTTCCGTCCCTCTCTTTTTGTTACCTCGGGATAGCAGCGTCTTCCTCGCGTTCCTCTGGCTGGGAGACAATCCACCACTAGCGCCCTGCCCTCCTAAAGAACGAGCCGCCCGACAATCTCACGCTGCTGTACGATCCCTAGTGAATTTCCTCCCTGTTCCAAGTGGTGAGCTGGCAATCGGTGCAGGCAGCCAGGCCGTGAACATGCCCACCAGAATATTAAGCCAGACAGTTGTTCATGTTTCTAAGATGGCTTCTGTGTTGAGGAACTTAGCTAGATTCACAGATTCTAAGGCCGCCACTGAGCTCTGTGGAGCTGAAAAGCTTGTCTCTTCCACCCACAGAACTTGGGCCTATAAAAGATATGACCTGACCCCCAGTGTCTCTCTCATATTCTGGGGCCAACACGGCTACAATAACTCTGCACAGCACAGGCCAGAGAACTTCCCTGTCGCAATACCTGGCTAAACTACAGCAGATCTTCTAGAAACACACCCAGTCCTGAAAAACGCTTCACCCGGCTCTCGGCTGCAGTGCGGCTCGGACCCACGTCCTTCGGCATGGAAGGAACAAGCCCCTACCACTGAAGGCTAAAACCCCATTACCGGGTGCAGGTATAGGTGTAGCTGGGGGCTGGAGTCATGAAGGCCTGACTGAGTGCCGAACTATCTCGTGGGTTTCTTTGGATGTGTGGATGGGGTTCAGACCCACCTCTAGCCGTCCAGACACTCCCATTTGACCGCATTCAGATGACATCCCCTCCCCCCTTGCCATGGAAAGGTGTTTCTCTTCCCCATAGAGCTGTATGAGGACATGTGTGTGCATTAGGTCTGCAAGGAGCCTTGTTTGATGAACTCACCCAGGGAGCTGCAAGCCCCTTGATCTTCTCCGCCTCCAGGTCGCTAACGAAGTCGTGGTACAGGGCTACGTACGGCTGCAGCCGGAGCAGCTCTCTTTTCACCGGTTGGAGGATCAGGTAGGGGCTGTCGTTCGTCTCGTATGAGCAATGGAGGGCTGGGATCTGATACTGGGTTGGCTGAAAGGGAACCAGCCCAGGGAATGTGTGAGGAGACGGCTGGAGACTCCAGCTTACAGGGGACTGAACCTCATCTAGTGCTGGGGAGAGGGGCAGCTTCAGGTGCCCTGGAGCCACATGCTCCCTCTTTCCCAGCAGGATCGTGCTTAGAATTGACAAGGTCTGCAAAGGCTTAACCTGCAGCGCGGACGAGGCAGGAGCTAGAATCCCAGGGGCTGAGAATGGGTCACAGAGCCAGTCAGCTCAGGGATATCGGCTCAAACCTGGCCTAGGCTGACAGTGACCCAAAGCGGCTATTATGTGATGGCTACTGGGGGCCTGCTGGGCCTCCCTCCGGTTCTCGCCTGACGGCCACCAGCCGCAGCCGGGCTAACTACAGAGACGGAGCAGGGGACCTGCAGCACTCAAAGGCCTGAGTCTAGAGCCAGGCTCCAGCGCTGGGGGCTGGACCAGCCCCAAACCCTTGGGAGAGAGGCACAGAGGCGGGCACACAACAAACACCAACCCGCGGGTTACACTAGCAGATGTGTCACAACACCCTCAGCCAGGACTGTCTGGGCAGGTGTGAGGCACACACCGGGGCCGTCCTGGGCAAGAGGACGTGAGTGGGTCTCGTTCACCGTCACCCCCTAGCCCCACAGGAAGGCTCAAGGCTCCATACCTGTGACCCCAGAGTCTGGCACAGCTCTTCATAGAGGTCTCTAGTCTGCAGGTGAGTCACATTCGGCCTCTGCAGGCCCACCTCGGCCGTGGCGCGCTCTGGACTTTCCACCAAGAACCTTTCATACTTAAGGACGTTCCTAGCGATTCTTTTGTTGCTGGGATCTGTGGGGAACAGCATAGGCACGTTACCCTGGCCCTCGGCAGCTGGCTTTGGTAGTGCTTCGATGCTCCATGGACACGGGCACCACTGACGGAGTTCATCTGTCGGCTTTCATAGCGTTTTAACAGCTATTCCTTCGTCTGCTCTGTCCCTATTTGCTGAAATACAAGTAAAATCACTCAGCGTCGTTGTAGCCGTGTCAGTCCCAGGATATTAGAGAGACAAGGCGGGTGAGGTCGTATCTTTCAATGGACCGGCTTCTGTTGATGAGAGAGAGACAAGCTCGAAAGCTCAAAACTTTGTCTCTCTCACCAAATAACACCAGAGGAGATTGTAACTCATTCCACTGGAACAATTTACCAAGGATCGTGGTGGATCCTCCATCACTTGCGGCCTTAAAGTCACGACTGGCTGTCTTTCTTAAAGGCACAGGCTAGTTCAGACACAGGTTATGGGCTTGACCCAGGAATGACTGGGTGATGTCCTCTGGCCTGTGCTATGCAGGAGATCAGATTAGATAAGTGTTCGCAAACATTTTATGTTGGCGACCCTTTCACACAGCAAGCCTCCAAGTGCAACCCTCCTTATAAATTAAAAACACATTTTTTATATTAAACACTAGCTTAAATGCTGGAGGCGGAGCAGGGCTGGGGGTGGAGCTGGGTGGGAAGGGCTCCGGCTCTCCACCATGAATGGGGCTGACAGCCAGAGCCCCACCAGGTGTGGGGCTGACAGCTCACGACCCCCAACATAATAACCTTGCAACCCGCAGTTTGAGAACCCCTGGATTCGATGATCACAACAGTCCCTTCTGTCCTTAATTAAAATCTATAATCCACAGTCACTAAGAGATTTCCTGGTTGTCAACAATGCCATGCTGTGTCCCATGGCCAAACTGAATTTCATGGGGAGAGTGAGGACAGAACTCAGATCCTTCTGCTCTAAAAGCCCTACCCTGGGCCACTTGAGCTAAAGTGGGGCCTCTATCACCTGACTCTATAGGATACCATGGAGCAGTTGTAATTCTAGCTAGTAGAGGTCAGTGGTGCACACACACACTGGCCGGTTGGTTACGAAGTTTACCAACGCTGGTAACAATTTTCAGGCACTTAGAAAAGCGTCTAGCAGCTAGATACGCAAGAGAGACCAATAAATCCTTGGGCCTGATCTGCAGCCTGAGTTAAGGTTGTTAAGTGAGTTAAGTGCCACTCCAGTGGCGCAAAGAGAATGAATGCTGCCTTCATCAGGCAGCGGTGGATTGCCTGGGGACTGGGCCAGAACCTGGACCATACACTGCAGCCAGGCTGGTGTGACAGAACGGTGCAGGCTGCCTAGGTTAAAGCAACCCTGGGGCTGCTCTAACTTGCATCTGAAGCCAGTTTGGCCCTGGGTACCCCAGACTTGGGGCAGGGGTGAATTGCCTCCTCACACCTCAGTTGCGGTGAGCATGAGCTCAGCGCAGCTGGTCTATAAACCTGGTGCTCATTTAGCTCAGCAATTTTGGAGTTTTACAGCCTGCCGTGTAGGAAAGAGCTGCTCTCCTGGACCCGCCCTTTCCAGCCCTCCCCCCTGTGCTTCCTTGCCAGCCCGTTATATACTGCACAGCATGGGGAAGGGGCTCCATGGGCCACCGCTGGAGAACCCCTGGTTTCAATGAAAAGCAGTTTTTCACCGAGAGCGGAGGGAAAAGTCACTGATTTCCCGCTGACAATCACATACCGTAGTGAAGAAACTCTCTGGAGAGGCTTAAGGCATGAGAAACATTTCCTGCCTAGGAGAGAGAGAGAGGAAACATGGGTGTCCCTGGTGCAATGGGCGTCCCGTCTGCATTTGCTCAAGCCAGGATCCCCTGCCCCCTGCTCCTATTCGGCTCCAACCATGCACCAGAAAAACGGGCACAAACCTCAGGCACAAACAAAGCCAGATCAGCTGTAGGAATCACTGGTGTCGTCAGTGCCAGGGGATGCGTACGAGCGCGCTCCGAGTTCTGATTCTGATCCGAGCATCACAGCTCAGGCTGGTTCAGAGTCTTAACGGCGACGAGTCTGAACCAAAGCACCACTGAAATCAATGTGGGGGCGGGCGGGTCTGTTGGCTTCATCGGGCTTTGGATCGGGCCCTGCGTGCACATGCACCCGGTGCCCTGGGCAGGGTGGGGAAGACGCTTCCCCTAAGGATCCCACCAGCTTTGATCAGCGATTGGGTGCCATTAGAAGCTGCCCGGTGGAGGCTGGCACAGGGGCATTCTGGCCATACCCCCTCTCCAGCCAGCACCACCCACTTCTGGAGCAGTGTGGCTTGGCTGCGGGTCCATCCAGAGAGCAGGCCATGCTGACACCTTGCATCATCACCACCGTCTGCCATCACTGGGGGCCCAAGCCCTGCATCACACCAGCTTATCCGGGCCTGAATCAAGCAGAGCAGCGTAGCGACAGCCAGACAGCCAAGCTGCTGCTCGCGGTAGCTGGAAGTGGGACGAGGGAGGGAGCCTGCCCCGGACAGAGTATTTGAGGCTGAGTCATTCTGGCCGGCCAGGGTGAGATTCCCGCAGTGCCAGCAGCTTGCTGCCGGACATTCAGTCAATTGCAGTCACTGGAGCAGGGCTGGGGAGGGATTTGGGGAGTGAGTGGCTTAGAGGCTCAGAGACAGCGTCCAGGCTGGCTGCAGGGGCAGATAGGATGCCAGCAGAAGGGGCTTCCTTCCACGCACGGTAACACACTGCTCAGCCAGCAGGAGGCGCCTGAGCAAACCAGCCGCAGTCCCAGAGCAGGCAGGGAAATGAATGAGATGAAACAAGAGTTTTGTTATTCGAGGAAATGGGGGGAGGGGAGTTGGCTGGCAGACAAAGGGCACAAGCTCTGGCTGCCTGCAGGGTAGCTTGTTACTGAGTGGGATGAGGGGGCCGGTGTGGGTGGGGAGGTGAACCTGGGACTGACGCACAAATAAGCAAAGCCACCAGAGATGGGTCTGTGCTGCAGCGTTCAGCTCCGCTGTGGCCCCCAAACCCCGCACAGTCTGGGGAGGGCAGATCCGGCTTTCATTTCACCCTGCTATAAAGATAGGAGCCAGCTACAAAATTCAGAGCCAGATCCGGGTTTGGAATCCTAGTGACCCAAATCCCTGAAGGCCAGACCCTCTCCTGGGCTGCGGCTGCTGTACGCTTGGCTGCTGGTGCAAAATGTCCTGATCCTGGGGTAGTCAGCCCAGCGGGGTGGGGTGGGGTCAGCCCAGCATAGGGGGATCTCCTGGGCATACAGCCAGGACCTCCTCCCATGTGCTGGAATAGAAGGTGTGGCCAGGAAAAAGGAGACGTGGCCAGCGGGTCCTGGTGATCACTGACTTGTGCACAGGTGGCCCAGGATTAGGAGACCACAGAGGTGGTTTAAAGATATGACTGAACCCCCCCCCCCCCCCAACACACATACTCCCAGTCTGTGTGCTCCCTAGTCAGAGTCCAGGAGCTGGACCCAGGTGTTTGGATCTGGGGTGTTGGTTCAGGTCTTGTTTCCATACGCACCCAATGGAGAGCCCCTCACGTTACCCAACAGAAACAGCACGACAGGCTTTTGCTGCCAGCTGCCCGTGTTTCTAGCTCAGTGAGATCTGGAACGCAGCCCTGCCAGGCAGGTGAAGGCTGGCCCCACGGACTCGCCTTGAAATAGGAAAAAGCCAGATGGTCCAGCGCGTCCTCGAGGCTGCCCTCGTCCTCTGTGTTCCACTCCCCGTAGGAGACGCGGAAGAGGCTGACGGCTTCCTCCAGCCACGCAATGGAGTGGTAGTAATCCTCCATGTCGTACGCCACCTGCAAGGTATCAGACGAGATGCCGCGTCCACCCTGAGGGCTGGAGCGGGGCATGGAGTGGTGGGGCAGGGAGGAGGGGAAGGAAACGCGTCCATGGGCTGGGTTATAACATAGCTTGGTCTCAGTGCGGCAGCTCAGCAAAGCTCACACAGAAATCAGTGGGTCAAATGCACCCCTGATCTGACTCCATGCTAGTTATCTTATTGTTATTTGTTCTCCAGTTGCGATCAGGGCCCCGTTGTGCAATGTGCTGTACAGACCCATAGTAAGAGGCAGCCCTTGCCCTGTAGAGCTTGCAATCTACATAGGCAAGACAGACACAGGACATATTGTTACTTCCTGCGAGGCAGCGTGGCCTAGTGAATAGAGCATTGGGCTGGGACTCAGGAGAGCTGACTTTTATTTGCCGCTCTGCCGCGGGCCTGGTGTGCAAGTCATGTCATTGCTCTGTGCCTCGGTTTCTCCAGGCATAAAAAGGGGTTGATGATTCTGCTCTCCTTTGCAAAACACTTTGAGATCTACAGAGGAAGAGTGCTGGATAAGAATTAGGATTTTTCCATATTTTATACATTCCTTTTATACATAGGGGAACCGGGAGGTTAAGTGACTTGCCCAGTATTACACAGGAAACCTGTGGCCCAGCTGAGACCTGAACCCACATATTCTGAGTACCTGTTTAGTGCCTTATCCCCATGACCAGCTTTCTCTCCCCAGTGATAGTTTTGCCTGTCCCTGAGCATCTTAGCACCACTGCTTACAAGGGGGCTAGTGGCTCAGTCAGACATGCAGGGTGGGACCCCAAATAATGTCCTTGCCTGGGAGTGTGGGCCCCCTTTCCCATTAGGGCATAGCTCATGTTACGTTGCTGCTGGGGCTAATCCAGTTAGCGATAATTGCCCGTAGTGACCTTTCCATCCAGGTTAAGGACTATCAGAGGCTAAGCATGGATTGCTGTAAATTCAGCTACTTAAAATGCTACAGTGGAACAGCTGGAGTGCTTCAGAGTAGACACTACCTGCGCTGACAGGAGGGGTTCTCCGGCTGGCGCAGGTAATCCACCTCCCTGGGAGGCAGTCGCTGGGCTGACGGAAGAATTCTTCCGTCACCCTAGCGCTGTCTACACTGGGGGCTAGTGGCACTGCTCCGTCTCCTGAAAAATCCACACCCCTTATGGGAGGTAGCTATGCCAATGTCAGCGCAGACCAGCCCTTAGTCTTCCTCCCGTTATTTTCCCCCTGCTCCTTTGCTGTCTCGCCAACTGCATTTTTTAAAGTATTTGGGGGGGTGGGGCGTAGTTGAGATTTGAACCATTTGCTGTGTTCAAAACAACACAGAACATTTTCAGAACTGGCAACTGGGGGGTTTGGACAGTATCTGGCCTGGCCAGCCCCACAAAATGGTGAGTCTGGCTGCAAAAAATCATGAGATAATCTTAAAAATAATAAGATTTGAACCACAATACACTTGGGATCCTTTTTTATGGGCCTTCTGGGTTTTGACCTGTTAGGGGGTCATGTTTCCAACCTCTCCTTGGCAAACGTGAGGGCTAGAAACTTACTTTGTTCAACGAAAGCTGAAATTTTTCACTTGACACCACAGGACTGCTGGAGCCGGGGCTCATAAATATGCAAGAACTGGCAACAGTGTTTGAGATTCATTATCCAAACAAGTGATAGTTTTGCAGTGACATTACAATGATTGCTCTTCACCAGCGTAAATGTATTTGTCCAGCACTTTATTTGTGTTATCTATGCTGATAGTTCATGTATAGTCTAGTGGTTAGAGCGAGGGCCTGGGCTCAGGTCCTCAAGGTTCTTTTAGTTCTGCCAATGACTTGCGGTGTGTCCTTGGGCTAGTCACTTAATTTCTCTATGACTCAGTTGCATCCTTTGTAAATGGGGACAAGTGATACTTAACCTAATTCCCAAGGGCGTTGTTATTAATTATGATTATTTTGTATTTTCATAGCATGTAGGAGCCCCAGTCATAGCCCATTGTTCCAGATGCTTTACAAACACAGGCCAAAAAGTCAATCACTGCTCCAAAGAGCTCACAACCTAAGTATAAGTCAAGAAGAGACAACAGGTAAATACAGACAGCCTGGGGAATACACAGAAACAGTGAGACAGTATTGGCCATCATGACAGGCAGTGGTCTCAGCACATCCACAGTATACCTGTTTTCAGGTTGTGGGGCTTAATTAATTGATTAGCACTTTGTAACAGCTGAACGATCGCCTGTGTGCCCTAGATCTACTGAAGGGAATGTGGAGTTCTCCTAAAAGGTGAGGGGAAAAAGAAATCAGGAAATCTGAGTTATGGTCTCTGCTGTCCCAGCTCTTCCTTTCCTATAGCCCCAGGCAGTGAGAAAACCTGTTCTCCGGGCTATAACTGAACTCCCAGAATGTTGTAATTAATCACAGTCAGAGATCGGGACCAGGCGTCTCCTTCCCTGGTGTGACTGCATGAAACAGGATCGCAGAGCTTGCTGTCACTGTCTGCCAGGAATGTCTAAGAGATGAGTCAGAAAGGGTCTCGCTTGCAATATTTGAGGAAAGAAATATCCAGTGTAATTTCTTATCACTGTAACTTCATAATTTCCCCTGAACGATCACGGTCACATACATCTGAAGAAGGTTTTTTTTTACCCACGAAAGCTTAGGCCCAAATAAATCTGTTAGTCTTGAAGGTGCCACCTGACTCCTCGTTGTTTTTGTGGCTACAGACTAACACGGCTACCCGTCTCATATTTGTGCACTTTACAACATCCAGGGACTGTCACCCTGGCAAGGCAAGTCTGATTGTTCCCATTTCATAGCTGGACAGACGGAGGCACAGTGGGGTGAAGTGCCTCACCCGAGTTCACATGGCAGGGCTGAAACGAGAACCCAGGTCTCCTGATGCTGCGGCTGGTGCTCCCTCGGGGTAAAGAAATTCTGGGCTAGAACAGAGAGAGTCCCAGCTCTTTCTGACAGAGGCATTCAGCACTCGCTTCCAGCTTGAGCGTCTGAGTTCAGGGCCCCCAGCTCTGTCTGGGGGAGCTCAGATGGGAACCTAGCTTAGCTCTCACCGCTGGGACTGGGGCTCCCTGGGGTACCGGTGCTGCTGTATTTGGTTCAAAGGGCGATACTTGCTCCGGGCCAACAGGCCCCAGGGAAGGCGGCGTACGCTGTGTATGGCAGGCCCTTTATTTAAATCACACGTGGAGCCTTTCGTAGCAAAGCGAGCTCTGAATTTGTGACAGCGTGACATGAACACAGCGGCGTCAGAGCACCGTATCCGGCCTGGCATACGGACGAGGGACGTAACTCCCTTCTGGTCACAGCATTCACATTCTGGTCCCAACACCTGCTCTGTGTGGCTTATATTAGGCTGACTCCTGCTAATGCTGCATCTCCTGGTACCAGCCCCTGATGCTCAGTGGGGTGTGCTCCAGGGGGACTTCCATCGTTTGTCTGGATTCCCGACAGTGCTGCTCTGTGCCTGCTGGAGGCATCAGCCTTTTCCTAGTGGGGGAGGAGGCCTGAGGTGGGCCTTAGCCCCCTTCACCACGAGGCCCCGCCCCCTACTGCTCCTCTTCCCCCTGAGGTCCTGCCCCTGGCCAGGCCAAAAGCCAGAGCCAGGCAGTAGCAAGAACCATGCAGGGAGCCCCGGACTCTCCACCTGCCCTGGGCAGCATGCCCCAGAGGGTGGGGACACGGGCCAAAAGCTGCTCTTGGGCACCCCAGCCCCCGGGCAGCTCTTACAACGGCCTGGCTCCAACTTCCAGCCCGGCCAAGGGCTGGAGCCCCTGCATGTGGACTAGCTACCCGTCATTTCACTGGTGTCTTCCGTGGCTGCCCTGAGTAGGGATCAGGTGGGCAGGTCCTGTCCCATCAGCTGAGGAGGGGCAGGGCATTGATGGACCTGGGTGCTCTTACTAACCCACAGGGACTTCAAGCCACTGCAGTCAGTGCCCCCACCAGCCTTCATGAGATACGTGCAACCCACGTTAAAGCAGCCTGGCTCTTTGTCCCCCTCTAGTGGCTAGAGTTTGTCCCCGCAGACGGTTCCATAGGAGATGCTTTTACGCACAGGTTGAGTGACAGCCTGGTAACCCTCTTGCCCATGCCCCGGGAGTGCTGGCCCCACGGCTCCCCCTCACCTTGCCGACGAGGAAGCAGTCATCAGCGGAGAGCGGGAAGAGCTGCCCGGGACTGTAGATGTCAGGGAGGTGGGTGCCGCTGGCTCTCTGGAACACACCTTTCACCAGCCCCTTCACACTCAGAGCATAGACATCCTGCAGCCTCATCAACGCCCGCGCTGCTCCCTCTAAGTCCTCGAACTCGGGCAGGTCCTTCTCCACCTGCGTGTAGCCATTCTTGAGCGCTGTAATGTCAGTGCCGGGGGGGGGAGCGTCAGCTGGGCGGCGGCGAACGGCTCGCCAGTGCCCAGCTAAGTGCTTCCGTTGGCTGGAGCCGAGGAGGGATTCATGGAGAAGGGGCTTCCCCTGAAACGCCATCCGAAAGCATTTCAGTGCCGAACAAATGGGAACTTCCCCTTGTTTGCCCATCCATGGGTACGCAGCCTGCCCGAGCTTGTGCCCCTTGCTCTTACTCCTCTCTGTCCCCCATAACTGACCCCCCACATTGTCTCCTGTTATTCCCTTCCCATTTCCTCTCCTCGCCTTGTTCTCCTTCCTGGCCATCACCTTCCTCCCGCTCCCAATTTCCCCTCCTCCCTCATTCCCTCCCACTTTCAATCCCTCCCTTGAGCATCCCCCTCATTATCTCTACATGGGGGAGATGGATCCAGGCCCGGTGACACCAGCTGAACCTCTAGCCCCAAGCCCCAGCTCCTCTGGACACATGGTGAGAGATTCACAAAGGCATGTAGGTGCCTAACTTCCATTGGGATCCATGGGAATTAGGCACTTGAATACCTCTGTGAATCCCACCCATTGCGCTCATCTGCTGACTCGAAGCAGGTCAAGCGCTGTGGGTACGTGGCAGCTGTGGGTTCGGCACAGGCCCCTCTCCGGTACCTTGGGTGTTCTCGCTGGCCTCCAGGCTGTGCACCACATTCAGCCAATCAGACTGCAGCCTCTTGATCAGCGTGTAGGCGAGTAACGGGTTTGCCGCAGAGCCCCCGGCTCCTTGGTGCAAATCCTGCACCTTGTTGTAAAACCTGGAAGGCATGAGCAGGGCAATCCCTCAGAGACACTGGAACCAGCCAGCACGGCCCATTGCAGCAGGCTGGGCGACGGGCCGGGGAGCACGGAGCTGGGGAAACTCCTCAGCAGTGAGATCTGGAAAGACTGAGGGATGGTGGCTCGCGGGAAGCGCCATCAGTTGAAACTAGACAGGACAAAGCAGGGGTCAGATGGGCAGGTCCTGCCCCCTCAGCTGCAGGAAGGGCGGTGCTCTGGTGGATCTGGGTATCTCTCTTTTGATAACAAGAACAGAGCTTGCTCTTACTAAGCCCTGGAGGACACCGTGTGTAGCGGGAACGAGCAGGATGGGGATAAGCTAACATCTCTAACGACTTTCATTCCCCCGGCTCCCCTCTGCTTGAGTTCAGATCAAACCCACTCAGAAATGCAAGGGATGGGAGGGGTCACTTCCTGCTGCTCAAGTGAGCTTGTGGTGCCTGGTACTTTGTCTTTTCCATGGGCATATCAGCAGTTGCAATGGCCAGCCCCATTGTCCAGCTCACAGATACCCGAGCCCCAGATCCCTGCTTTGACTTCAGCTTGGATCTAACTTTAGATTTTCTGTTGTGCTCAGCAGAGCAGGGGGAAAAGCCATAAAATGGCACCTAGAGCTTGAGTCATTCCAGATGTTAGTCATGTGACCCATCCTCATAAAAAGGTATTTTCCACTGCCCTCATTATTAGACTCCTGAGCTCAAACCCGATCCTGAGATTGACTCCCTGCAGTAAATGCCTCTGTGTCAGGAGTCACATGTTGAACCTGCAGCCTGACTCCTCCATGAGCAATGATGACTGGAGTGTGTCACCTGGCCAGTCAGAGGGGCCAGAAGGAACCCCCCAGGTCTGCACACCATTCAGCTTTGGGCTGGTACAAAATTTGAACCTGGAACTGGGTATATTACAAATGGCCCCTTTCATTATACTGGGATGAACCAAAGCCCCAGAGCCAAACTCCCTTTGTGATTGAAATCTAGATCCATAGATTGTGCCCATCTCCAGTCAAATGCAAAGGATACTCCTGAGGGAATTCTACGCCAGAAAATTAGAAATTCTGTGCACAATATTTTAAAATTCTGCAAATTTTATTTGTCCGATAAATGTGGAGGCTCCAGCCTGGCATTGGGGAGCACAGGCCACTGGTTCTACAGTGGTGGGAAATCACTGTGCAGCTCCCCCCCCGGGACATGGACTCAGCGGTGAGGCTGCACCCAACCTTGACACAGCAATACCATAGCATACCAAGGTTTCCCGTTCCCAGCCAATGGGAGCTGTGGGGGAGTGACCCACAGGTGAGGGCAGCCCGTGGAGCCCTCTGCCCCTGCTCCTTCAGGGGCCGCAGGGAGCCTAACCTGGCCCCAGTGCACGCCGCTGCCACCGGAGCCCGCACCCTGAACCTCTCCTGCACCCCACACCACAACCCCCTGCCCTGAACCCCCTGCTGCACCCCAACCCCCTGAGCCCCCTGCTGCACCTCGCACCCCTCCTGTACCCCAAACCCTGCAGCACCCCACACCTCTCTTTCACCCCAACCCCCTGCCCTGAGCCCCCTCCTGCACCCCAATCCCCTTCCCTGAGCCCCCTCGTACACCCCGCACCCCTCACCTGCCCCAATCCCTTGTCCTGAGCCCCTTCCTGCACACTGCACCCCGCACTCCCTTCTGCACCCCAACCCCCTGCCCCAGCCCTACCTTTATGGCTCTGCATGCAATTTCCCCACCCAGATGTGGCCCTCTGGCCAAAAAGTTTGCCACCCCTGGACTAGATGATCGCAATGGTCCATTCTGGCCTTGGAATCTATGACTCACAGAACCCATTCAACTTGCCAACTCTCATGATTTGATCCCCCATCTCACACTGTGTGGGGTTTGTCTCAAAGCCCCAGCTCCCGGTGTCATGGGATCATGAGAGATGCCTTTTATTTTAATGTAACTTTCTAGCTCTCATGATATCAGAGCAAAGCTTGAAAACATGGCCGATAAAGGCTCAAATGAAATGACGCAAAATGTATTGTTTTGAGTCTCATGATTATTTTGCAGGGGAGGAGGAGAGGCTGATTCATGAGTTTTGAATGATTGGGGTTGGCAATTAGGGAGCTGGGAAAATCTCCAGGAGCACAGGAATATTCTGTCTCTGACAGTGGCCAACATCAGATTCTTGAGGAAGGGGTAAAAACCCCACACCAGGAGGAGCTGTGGGACAATTTGCCTCATTGGTTTATGCACAGAAGCATGAGGTTTAATATCCCTCCCACCTCATTTCTGTAAGCGTGAATTAGGATAACGCTAGATACCCATGTTATCCCCCTGCCTGGGGCTGCAGATCTGACCCTGCTGCCAATCTGACCAAGTCCCACTTTGTTATTTCACACGTTAGAGCAACAATTCTGAGGGATTTAGTCATGTTTGTTATTGGTGGAAAAGCTGGTGTATTTGGGGGCCAGGTTCCGCAGACATGCATATGACCCACTCCGTGTCTGTTACAAATAAGGCCACAAGGTTCATTGGTAAAGAAATACATCATTCCCGATACATGCTTTTGTTTCCAGACATTTAACTGCTCCATGCAGGAAACCGCAGAACAGCTGAATGCTCCATTGTTGGGATGGGAGGCTTTCCACCACGCAGCCTCAGGCTGATGGAGCTGATGTGGGATGGGGGACTCCTTCTTAGTTAGCAAAGAAAGGAAAGGATTATTGCACAATGCTCAGACTCTGGGTTTCCTGGGCAAAGATTTCTTCTGCACTACGGATGACTTGGGAAGTTTTTAGTCCTGATTCTCCTCTTGCTTACATCAGTTTTACCTCGGCGTAACTCTAGTGACTTCATTGGAGTCATTCTACATTTACACCAGTGTAAACAAGACCAGGGGCCACCCAAGCAGGTCCTTCAGCACAGCTTCACCCCTGATTTGCAGTGGCATGGCCCTGCTTGCACCAGGAATAGGCTTGGACCTTTGCATGTATAGCCTCTCACCCCCATTGTTACACACAGTAGCAATGAGCAATGTAAGTGCCCTGCTGCTGACTCCTGTCCGGCCCAGCTCGGTCAGTGCAGATGCATGGTAAGACTGAGCAACAAACACGGCAGCTCTGACAGCGAGTTTGTCCAGTGAGCCTGGTAGTCCACATACACACACACACACAGGGTCAGTCACATGCACACCCCTACATATGCATGCTGCACACACACCGATGCTAACGTATATACATCCCCATTCACTTGCACAAACACAGAAGCAGGTACCCATTCATCCACGTACTCACTGGCACACTCATATGCACGCATGTACTGTACATACAAACATGGACAAACACACTTAAGCACTGTCAGACCGGCGATCATGAGTCCTAAGCCCTGTGTAAGGTAAAACAAGGGCTTCCCCTTTATTCCAGTTAACAGCCGACACAAAGAAAAATTCCAGCACCGGTGAGGCACCTCGCAGGCCCCCAACGCACAAGGCGTGTCCACACGGCAGCTGGGGGGAGCCGGGGTGGACGCTGACAGACACGTGCTCGCTGGATTAGAACGCGGCTGGACGAGTGTGGCTGTTGCCGCACGGGGGCTTGGGCTTGCCGCCCGAGCACAAGCCCACCTGACCCCCTGGGTCTGTATTCTGGGGCTGCCACCTGTCTCTCGGTTTCAGTTACTCCTGGGGGGATTCCGCACACCCGCACAAAATGCCCCCTGCAGAATTTCTGCATTTCCCTGCAGAAAACGCCAGGGGAGCTGCGCGGGGGCGCGACCATATGCACGGTTTTTGGTGGGGGGGACTGCCCCCAAACAGAGGTGAGGCATACAGGGGCACACGGGGTTACGTGTCACTGCCCCCCCCGATTTCTGCAAGTGCAGGTTGTTGCTCCCTTCTGTGTGCAGGGAGCCTTCCTGTTTTCTGTGCAACAGAGCGTGCCCACGGTGGGGCTGGGTAAGGGATGTGGGGGAAGTGAGGGAAGCGGGGGAGGGGGTGGGGGAAGGGGCAGTGGGGAAGGAAGGGGTGGTGGAATAGGGCAGGGGGAGGGGAATGTGGGAGTGAGGGGAGGGGGATGGAGAAGAAAAGGGGATTGGGGAATCACAGGGGGAGCCCAGCATGGGGCATCCCCCAGCAGCAGCTGGGGCTCCTCATTCTGACAAGCCCTACCCCCCTACACCTGGACCTCTCTGACAAGCCCCCCACACCAGACTCCCATCCCTCTGAGCCCGAACAAGCTGCACCTGGACCCCCACCCCCATCAAGCCCCACTACCCCAGCACCCACACCTCCCCACTGAGCCCCACATACCCAGACCCCCCTGCCAAGCCCCATCTCCCCACACTCAGACCCCCCCTCTGAGCCCAACCACCATCACCTGGATCCCCTGCAGAGTCCCATTGCCCCTACACCCGGAAGCCCCCAACGAGCCCCCGTGCACCCAGATCTCCCACTGAGCCACCCACGCCCAGATTGCCCCACACAGAAACCCCTCACCCCACACCCGGATCCCCCTGCATTAAGCCTCTCCACACTTGGATCCTGCTGGGTTGAGCCTGCCCAGCCACACCTGGTGCACCTGGCACAGAGGGGCAGGGCCCCGGGGTGTTTCTGGGGCAGGCCCAGGCCTTGCACTGCGTCAGGGTCAGGTGCAGCTTCACTGCCGAGTCCCGGTACTGCAGGGGGTGGGGGCTTCAGGGTGATCGTCCACCTCAATGCCGCCAGTGGCCTGTGCTCCCCTCTGCCACGCTCGAGCCACATTTCTTTATTGACAAATAAAACTTGCAGAATTTTAAAATATTGAGGCATCATTTTTAATTTTTTGGCGCAGAATTCCCGCAGGAGTATTTCAGGGCTCAAGCAGCGCGAGGGCGTGTTTGTCTACCCTGGCACATCTCCAGCTGCAGTGTAGACGGACAGGTCTCCCTCGATTAATAATACAACCTGAATCCCTTCAATAACAGGGGGGTTTTCACCTTCCCCTGCAGAATGCCGGGTGGTTCACCTGCTGGGATCGTTTAGGCATAGTTCACGTAATCCATTCCCTGCTACCGCAGGGGTCTGGGACATCGGTAGCACCTCGGTCACTCCCTGTGGCACTCAGTTTAGTCTCCTGGGGGCTGAAATGCTTTAGTCTGATTAAAGTCCTGGGTGTACCAGGAGCGGATCGGTGTGAAATTGAACAGCCTGTGACAGACAGGAGGTGAGAGGATCTAATGGTCCCTTCCGGCCTTCAACTCTGTGAAAACACACTCACTCGCACACATGTATTGTTACACACACACGGTCCTGGGCACACACTTGCTCACATGTATTGTTACACATCCATGGTTCTGGCCACACACACTCACTCACTTGCACACATGTACTGTTGCACACACAGAGTCCTGGCCACACACACTCACTCACTTGCTCACATGTACTGTTACACACACACAGTCCTGGCCACACACACTCACTCACACACATGTGCTGCCATACACACATGATCCTGGTTGCACATGCTTGCTCACTTGCACACATGGACTGTTACACACACACAGTCCTGGGCATGCACATTTCATTCACACACTCACATGCCCTCCCTGCATGGGAACCCTCGGACTGCGAGCAGGGACCATCCTTCTCAAGTGTCTGGAAAGGACCTGGCACACAGCGGCTGCTACTGCAAACTAGCATTAATAATAACAACAAGCTCATCTGCATCCATGCCTTCACTCCCCACACATGCCCTTTGCTAGCACATCCCTGGCTGGGTCCTCCCGTGTTTGGTTTGCGAACTGACCAGCCCTAGGTGAGACACAGCCATCATTCTACAAAGCCCATCTCCTGTGGCGTCTGGTACTCTCTCTTCTGTCTTTTATCGATTTATTTAAAACTTGTCTCTCCTGACGCTCCAGGCGCTTGCACACCGAGGAACACAGACGCAAACCAAATGCAAAATGCTCTCAGGTTCCTTGCTAACCAGCGTGGCCTAAAGGCCAGGATCACCAACAAGCCTGAGGGAGTTAGGTGCCTGCGTTCAGTGGGAGTTGGGCTTTTGATAATCCCAGCCCTCAAATTACGCTGTTTGAGGCAGGGACCCTCTTCCATTCTGTTTGTACAGCCCCTAGCACCATGGGGTCCTGCTCCCGGCCTGGACCCCTCCCGGTGCGGAGTGCGCCACCTTCTGAAATACCCAGGGTCTGCGGCTCCGCTGGATCCGCCGTCCTGCCATGGAAGCGAATGGAGCAGCACCGGAGCGATAGGGATGGGGCGGGCAGGCAGGGTGGGTCCCTTCTGCAAGGAGAGGGATTGTGCCCAGCCAAGTGCTTTCGCCAGGGGCCGGAGGGGACCCCACTGGGGCAGCTGAGCACTGGGAAAGTTCACAGCTCCGGGTCCTGGCTGCAGACCGGGGGGCTCTCTGACCCAGCTGCCTGCCCCTCCCGTGTCTGAATGGCCAGGCTGATCCGGATTCTGCTGGGAGCTGGTCCCGAGGCAGAGCCAGGCTGCGGGGTGCAAGGTCCGGGGGTGGATCGGGCTGCGGACCCCGCCGGATGGGGAGGGTGTCTGGATCAGAGTCAGCCTGGGAGGGCAGGGCGCGTGGAAAGCCAAAGGGTCCAGGGTCAGTTCGGGCCCCTCTCCGGGTGCTGCGCGCCGGGCTGGCCCACTTACCTCTGCAGGTCCTTCAGCCGGTGGGTCTCCGCCTCCAGGTAGGCCCCCAGGTGCCGCAGCAGCCTCCGCTCGGTGGCCAGCGCCTGCCGGACGCTCAGCATGGAGCTGAAGGTCTCGCCCGGCGCCCGGCGCAGCCAGCCCAGCCACAGACCCAGCGCAGCCACCGCCGCCAGGCGCATCGCTGCGGCGCCGCGGGGGAGGCTCCGGCCGCCCCCCAGCTGCCCTGCGCGGGGCCCCGGCTCCGGGATCTTCCCCTTCCAGCGCCCGGACAGCGGTGTGTGCGCCCCCGGCCGGCAGGAGCGGGGCCCGGCTGCGGGCGCTCCGCCGTGGCCAGTGGCAGGGAGAGGCACCGGCGGGGAAGCTCCGGACGCGAAGGGGAGAGGAAAGCTGCGGCGGGGGCCGGCAGCCGGCACCGACCAAGGGGGCGCCCAGGCAGGATCGCACCAGCGGCGCCTTTCGGGCGCGCAGGGGTTTGGCCCGGTGAGTCTCGCTCGTGGGCAGGAGGCAGCTCTCCCGGGGGAGGGGGATTGATCACCCCGCCCCCTGGGGGCTTCCTGCAGCGTCCCCCGCCGCAGCGAGTCAGCCGGTGAGAGAGACACGGGCGGCGTCACTTGTCCCTGGAGAGAGGAATGACCAGCCTGGTGATGTGTGCTCCAGGCCAGGAGCTCAGCCAGCCAGCGGGCCGGGATCCCAGTGATCCCTGCTAGCGACTGCCTGGCGGCACAGACCTACGGGCAGGGCTACGGTCCTCCTTAGACGCATTAGGTCGAATTTATAATGTGTGCGTCTACACTACCCAGCCCTTTCTGCCGACTTAAAGGGCTCTTAAAACCCACGCCTGTCCCCCACCTGGAGGAGAGGAGTAGCGCCAGAGTCGACCTTCCCGGGTCCAATTAGGGGTAGTGTAGACACAGCACAGTGTAATTCCAGGGGTTTGGCCTCCTGGAGTTATCCCAGAGTGCTCCAATGTGACCGCTCTGGACAGCACTTTCAACCCCACTGCACTTCAGCCAGGTACACAGGGCCCTTTTGCATTCCATTTCCTGTTTGATCAGCCTGGGGAGCTCACCACCGCCCCTGACCATGGCTGCCCAGGGCCGCAGACGTGCTCCAGCCTTTAGCGTTCAGGAGACACTGGATCTGATTGCCCTGTGGGGAGAAGAGCCTGGGCAGGCAGAGCGCTATGCCCAAATCGCACAGCGCATGGGGGGGAAAGGCTACACCAGGGACTCACAGCAGTGCCGTGTGAAAATCAAGGCCCTCGTGCGAGCATACCTGAAGACAAGGATGGCAAATAGTTGCCCTGGGGCTGAGCCACAGACATGCCGCTTCTATGAGCAGCTGCATGCAATTCTAGACAGGGACTTCACCGGTGTGCCAGTATTCGTCGTGGATAGCTCCCGGGTGGCCACGGGCAACAGCGAGGAGGACACTGTTGATGAGGAGGAGGAGGAGGAGGAGGAGGAGAATGTACAGCAGGCAAGCAGAGGATCCATTCTCTCCGACAACCAGGACCTTTTCCTAACTCGGGTGCCAGCCCCCTCCCAGGACCCACTGTTGCAGGACTGTGATGGTGGGGAAGGCACCTCTGGTGAGTGCATATTTGTAGTAACACTACAGGGGTTCAATGCAATTGTGGTTAATGTTTAATTGGAGGTGAACAATTGGGGGGGCAGTCCAGCCGTGCAAAGGGGGCTCCCCGGAAAAGCCTGTTTATGTGCCGAGAGTTTCCACACCAAAAAAATGTCCCCGGGCCTGCCCTGCCACCGCTTACCCTTTCCTGTGTGCTTACCACGCTTGCCTGCAAACCAAGATCAGCTGCCCAGCACTCTGCCAGGTGTTGTACCTCACTGGCAGGCTCTTCTTTTAGAAGACTAGGCCCTGGATACCCTATGAGTTGAGGTTGAATTTAGCAGCATTAGATCGATTTAACCCTGCACCAGGAAAGAGGATTTGGGGGATGAGGAGAGTGATATCATTCATGGTCACCTGGTTGAAATAGGGGAATTTTATTCAGGGGACATTCAGAGGTGCCCGTTCCTGCTGGGCTGTTTGCCTGTGACTGAAAAGAAATCATCCCCGCTGTTAGCCACGCGGTGGCGGGAGGCGAGGGGGGGGGCGGGGTTCATGCTGAGCTGTTTGTGTTTGGCTCGCAGGGATCTTCCCTGATACTGGTCACATGGTGGAGGGAAGGGTGAAGCGATCTTCCCAGAGAACTGGGGGGCGTGCGTGTGGGGGGTGTTCATTGGGTTTGTGCTGCATGTTAACCCGAAAACCGCAGCCCCTCCTTTTAAATGGCCAACCCAACGGGTGCTTGGCATGGGAAAGGAGGGCACTGCTGTTTGAAACCATTCCCACGTGATGAAGGTTGAAGAAGCCGAAAGACTGTGGCTTACCATGGCTGCCTGCAAGCCGAATTCTGTTGCCCCGCCCTGCGTGTGTGATCTCTCACACCAAACCGGCAGGCCCTCAATATAAGAGGCAAAATGCGACCGTGTACCGAAACATTACATAGCATATGTGCTTAACAGCTTGGATCACCATGAAAGAGTCTAGCCATTGTTCTCTAAAATGTGTCTTTTTAACTACCACTCTCCCTTTTTTCCCCTCCCGCAGCTGCAAATGTTTCAACGCTCCCCCTATCATCTCCGTCCCAGAGGCTAGCACGGATAAAAAGGCAAAAAAACCGCACCCGCGATGAAATGTTCTCTGAGCTCATGCAGGCCTCCCGTGCTGCAAGAGCTCAGCAGAATGCGTGGAGGCAGACAATGGCAGAGTCCCTGAAAGCAGAAAACGAATGCCAGAAGAGGTGGCGGGAGCGCGTTTATAGGAGGCAGGATGCAATGCTGAGGCTAATGCGGGAGCAAACTGACATACTTCGGCGTCTGGTGGAGCTGCAGGAAAGGCAGCAGGAGCACAGACCGCCGCTGCAGCCCCTGTGTAACCACCCGCCCTCCTCCCCAAGTTCCATAGCCTCCTCACCCTGACACCCAAGAGCGTGGCGGGGGGTCCCCCTCCGGGCACCCAGCCACTCCACCCCAGAGGATTGCCCAAGCAACAGAAGGCTAGCATTCAAATACATTTTGAAGTGCAGTGTGGCCTTGTCCTTCCCTCCTCCCCCACCCCACCAGGTGCTTCCCTCCTCCCCCACCCCTCCCGGGCTACCTGGGCAGTTCTCCCCCTATTTGTGTGATGAATTAATAAAGAAGGCATGATTTTGAAACAACAATGACTTTATTGCCTCTGCAAGCGGTGATCGAAGTGGGGAGGGCGGTTGGCTTACAGAGAAGTAGAGTGAACCAAGGGGGGTGGGTTTTCATCAAGGAGAAACAAATAGAACGGTCACACGGTAGCCTGGGCAGTCATGAAACTGGTTTTCAAAGCTTCTCTGATGCGCAGCGTCCCCTCCTGTGCTCTTCTAATTGCCCTGGTATCTGGCTGCACTTAACCAGTGGCCAGGCGATTTGCCTCAACCTCCCACCCCCATAAAAGTCTCCACTTCATTCACATGCACTCACATGCCCTCCCTGCATGGGAACCCTCGGACTGCGAGCAGGGACCATCCTTCTCAAGTGTCTGGAAAGGACCTGGCACACAGCGGCTGCTACTGCAAACTAGCATTAATAATAACAACAAGCTCATCTGCATCCATGCCTTCACTCCCCACACATGCCCTTTGCTAGCACATCCCTGGCTGGGTCCTCCCGTGTTTGGTTTGCGAACTGACCAGCCCTAGGTGAGACACAGCCATCATTCTACAAAGCCCATCTCCTGTGGCGTCTGGTACTCTCTCTTCTGTCTTTTATCGATTTATTTAAAACTTGTCTCTCCTGACGCTCCAGGCGCTTGCACACCGAGGAACACAGACGGAAACCAAACGCAAAATGCTCTCAGGTTCCTTGCTAACCAGCATGGCCTAAAGGCCAGGATCACCAACAAGCCTAAGGGAGTTAGGTGCCTGCGTTCAGTGGGAGTTGGGCTTTTGATAATCCCAGCCCTCAAATTACGCTGTTTGAGGCAGGGACCCTCTTCCATTCTGTTTGTACAGCCCCTAGCACCATGGGGTCCTGCTCCCGGCCTGGACCCCTCCCGGTGCGGAGTGCGCCACCTTCTGAAATACCCAGGGTCTGCGGCTCCGCTGGATCTGCCGTCCTGCCATGGAAGCGAATGGAGCAGCACCGGAGCGATAGGGATGGGGCGGGCAGGCAGGGTGGGTCCCTTCTGCAAGGAGAGGGATTGTGCCCAGCCAAGTGCTTTCGCCAGGGGCCGGAGGGGACCCCACTGGGGCAGCTGAGCACTGGGAAAGTTCACGGCTCCGGGTCCTGGCTGCAGACCGGGGGGCTCTCTGACCCAGCTGCCTGCCCCTCCCGTGTCTGAATGGCCAGGCTGATCTGGACTCTGCTGGGAGCTGGTCCCGAGGCAGAGCCAGGCTGCGGGGTGCAAGATCTGGGGGTGGATCGGGCTGCGGACCGCGCCGGATGTGGGGGTGTCTGGATCAGAGTCAGCCTGGGAGGGCAGGGCGCGTGGAAAGCCAAAGGGTCCAGGGTCAGTTCGGGCCCCTCTCCGGGTGCTGCGCGCCGGGCTGGCCCACTTACCTCTGCAGGTCCTTCAGCCGGTGGGTCTCCGCCTCCAGGTAGGCCCCCAGGTGCCGCAGCCGCCGCCGCTCGGTGGCCCGGCTCCGGGATCTTCCCCTCCCAGCGCCCGGACAGCGGCGTGTGCGCCCCCGGCCGGCAGGAGCGGGGCCCGACTTCTATAATATCAACCTAATTTCCTAGTGTAGACATACCCCAAAAAATGTGGCCATGTACCTCTGGGAATGTATTTCCTGCTGTGAATTGTTTCATTCATTGCAACAGTTAACTTTTTGTTTTCCACAATGTATGTTTTTCCTTGCAGCTGCAACATTGTCTCTGGGTGCTTCCTCCACTCCAGCACAAAGGTTGTCCCAGATTAGAAGGCGAAAAAAGCAGACATGGGAAGACATGTTCTGTGATTTGATGCATTCCTCCGAGGCTGACAGGGCCCAGCTGATTGCACGGAGGCTTACACTGTCAGAGAGCAGGAAAGCATGCAGGGAACAAGCGTGCAACAAGCAAGAGGAGATGTTGCAGCCTATACAGGAGCAAACAGACCTATTGAGGCATGTGGTTGAGGTGCAGGAAAGGCAGCTAGACCTTAGAGTCCCGCAGCACCCAGTGATGAACCAGCTGCCCTCCTCACCAAGTTCCATATCCTCCTCTCCCTGACGTCCTATGGTGGGGGGAAGCTCCGTTATCCCTTGAACTCAACTCCAGGGGATGGTTCACGGAGCAGAAAGCTCTCATTCCCACAGCTTTGATTGCTAGACAGTGCAATTGTAACAAGTGCCGTGTCCCTGCCCCTGCCCCGCTGTGTTATCAGGCCCTTCGACCCGGGCTATCATTGCTATTCATTGCTGTCTCTGGTCAGTGTTTGTTAGCATAATAAAAATGCATGAATTGAGGACAAGAGGCTCTTTAGTCACTGTGCACACTGTGGTTGGTGGGCACTACCTGTGACAAAGGGGCAGGTTGGTAAGGAACAACACACAGAACGGTCACATCCGTGTTGGATCATTCATGAAACTGGTTTTCAAAGCCTCTCGGAGACACAGTGCATCTCGATGTGCTCTTCTTATTGCCCTGGTCTCTGGCGGCTCCTAACGGGCAGCCAGGCAATCTACCTCAATCCCCCACCCTGCCAGAAGCTCTTTTTTGTATATAGTTTTGTATAAAGCCACAATCTGTGGACAATGTTATGATTATTACCACAAATTGGACAATGTCAAGATTATTGCCACAATCACTGGAAAAGGCTTCCTGCTCCTCACACTGTATCCTGTTGTCTTTTCCTCCCAGAAAATGTATTTCTTAAATGCCCATGTATTTATTCCTGAAACCTGTTGCTTTACACGTTTAGAAAGGCTTCAGCGCCTTTGCAGGGTTAATGATTCCCTGCTTCTTTTAATTATCCTCTGAGTGTGCACAGTAATTTGCTACCACTTTTTTTTTTGGGGGGGGGTCATCACAGCCTGAAATATTTTCAAAGGGGGACCCAGCAAGAAAAGTTTGAGAACCCCTGAATTGCAGGGAACAATCCTCCAGCAGCAGAGGGATGGACTTGCTGATCTAGCTGGTCTTTTCCAGCTCTGAATAAAGTGCTATCCGATGTGCTGTATAAAAGCTATAGATTATTATGAGTCCAGTCCTCTTGTTCCCTGTCAGGGGCTGAGAAAATGCCAACTGACTGAGCAGATCCACACCCAGGGGGAGAGGGGCCAGATTTGCAGCTCCAAGCACAGAGCCTTCCCTTCCCCATGGCTGGTGCCCATGCAATGATCTCTCCAGCAGTCTGCTTGCTCTGGCCCAGCTGCAGTTGCATCATATACAGGGCTTAAATTCTCACAGAGTATTTCCCAGAGCCTCCCAAGCCATGCCCCCCCCCGCCCCCAATGTGCTAGAAAAACTCCAGGGGGCATTGAAAATATTTACCAGAGCTGTGTTCTGGGCAGCTCTGGCTGAATTTAAGCCCTGATCATACATGAAGCGGGCTACAGGGCCAAATCTCCTGTGAAGTGCAGAGCACCCCAACCTCCTATTGCAGTGGGAGCTGCGGGGGGCCGGGGGAGGGGGCACTCTGCACATGTCAGGATCTGGCCCATCACTTTGCGTGGAAGTTGCAGGTGCAACATGTTCCTCAGGGTTTGGCCCTAGAGAGGCCATGCTCTATGCTTCACTGGGGGTTTCAGTGCCCCCAGGGGCTCTGCGTTAACGCTCAAGAAGACCAATGTGCCCATCTAGTGGACAGTGAGCAAACAACCACCACAACTGCCAGGGGAATCCGACTTCAGAGCTCGCTCACAGCTGTACGGTTTGCTGACATTGAGAGCGGGGCAGGATGCAGGTGTGGGGATCGTCACATGGGTCTAGACTCTAGTGACCCGGCTCCTCAAAGGTATTTAGGCACCTAACTACGCCCATTGATTTAATGGGAATGAGGCACCTTTGAGGAGCTAGCCATGTTGTGATAAGTGGGCTGACAAATTGACTCTGGTTGTGAGCTCAATGGTAAAATGTACGGGAAAGTTCACAAGTTGTCACACTAACCTACGCTAACAAATGTTGATGGGAAAAGATACAAAGAGACAGTTCTCTGAAGACGTCCATGCAGCCTGCAGCGGCAGTCAAAAAAGCAAACAGGATGTTGGGAATCATTAAAAAGGGATAGAGAATAAGACAGAGAATATCTTATGGCCCTTATATAAATCCATGGATTTATACTGAATACTGCGTACAGATGTGGTCCCCTCATCTCAAAAAAGATATCCTGGCATTAGAAAAGGTTCAGAAAAGGGCAACTAAAATGATTTGGGGTTTGGAACGGGTCCCATATGAGGAGAGATTAAAGAGGCTAGGACTTTTCAGCTTGGAAAAGAGGAGACTAAGGGGGGATATGATAGAGGTCTATAAGATCATGAGGGGTGTGGAGAAAGTGAATAAGGAAAAGTTATTTACTTGTTCCCATAATATAAGAACTAGGGGCCACCAAATGAAATTAATGGGCAGCAGGTTTAAAACAAATAAAAGGAAGTTCTTCACTCAGCACACAGTCAACCTGTGGAACTCCTCGCCTGAGGATGTTGTGAAGGCTAGGACTATAATAGGGTTTAAAAGAGAACTGGATAAATTCATGGAGGTTAAGTCCATTAATGGCTATTAGCCAGGATGGGTAAGGAATGGTGTCCCTAGCCTCTGTGTGTCAGAGGGTGGAGATGGATGGCAGGAGAGAGATCACTGATCATTACCTGTTAGGGTCACTCCTGCTGGGGCACCTGGCATTGGCCACTGTTGGAGTACAGGATACTGGGCTGGATGGACCTTTGGTCCGACCCAGTATGGCCGTTCTTATGTTCTTATGTTCTAAGGCTAGTAGGGCAGATGCCCTGGGACCCAGAAAGGGTCAGTCCCTTCCATACCTCCTTTGCTTTATCTGAGGCTAAGGCAGGGTGGCCCAGCAGGGCAGGAGAGTAGAGGGTTGCATTGTGTCTGTTAATGGGTTAACTGCCCCCACCCCTCCTGGTCTCTTTGAGTGCACCTCATGGGGTCTCAAGCCACCACCTCTCTCATGGTTCTCCACTCTTAGACCAGGCCCTTGGCTGCAGTCCCCTGGGAGGAGCCGGATTTAAAGGCAGATGACCCAGGTGGCCGTCTGAGGTGTTAGGCTCGGGGTGCTGTTTTTGTTATTAGCGACAAAAGGGAAAAGAGAATGTTTGAATTCACCCGTTTCAGTTATTCCGCACGTGGACTCATTTTTCACTAACCTCCTAGAATGTTCTGGGCCTTTGTAGAATCTCATGGAACCTTCCAGACTTTCTGAGAACTACATTTTCCTCGAAGCTCCTAGAATGTCGTCAGCCATGTGGGGACAGCTTGGAAGATCCTGCTCACGCTGCCAGCCACAGGCACGAGTGGGCAGTGCAGCTTTTGGCAGCTCAGGCTCATTAAAACGTATCTTTGATCGACGATGGCCGACGAGAGACTACGATTGCTGGCTATTTTGTCACTTGGAAATGCCATTGGCCGGGCTTTGGATCTCGCTGATGCTGTGCCTCAGTTCGCGAGGGTAAAGGCGAGAAAAGGGCCTTTTCGACGAAAGGACTGGGGTTAACTTTCTAAGGTTGTCACCTACTGTAACGCTAATATTGGTCCACCCAATGTTGGTGCACAGGTCAATTTCTTGATGTTAGTACGTTTCAGTTATTCTTCAAATTTAAAAGTTTCCATAAGCTTCGAGGAAATGATTTGATTTTATTTGCTTATATATGGCAGGAATAAATACAGATTTACAGATCCTACCATGCAATTTTATCGTCTTATATGACAGGGATAAATCATGCCTGCAAATCGTGCAACAAAGTCATGAAATGGGCTGCAAATGCAACAAAAAATAAGGTATCCACAAGTTTAAGAAATGCAGGGGGCAGCAAAGGTGTTCCTTGCCTGGGGCACTATTTGGTCGCGGGCCGACACTGCCCCTGGGATCCACTGGGATGACCTCACCAGGCCTGAATTAACTTCAGTGCCTGCAGTTCTGCCCCCTCTAGGAGCAATGACAGAGCAAAAATCAGTGGCCAAACAGCCTCCTTAGTGCAAAGTATTTAGAACCAAAGCACTTAAGAGAAAATAGCTCTTAAACTATCTACATGCCTGCCTGCCTCTCCCTACCGCTTGCCATTCCCTGGACAAGGAAAGGGACAACTCCTTCAGACTTCCCTTTGCAGAGCTTGTCCCCCTGGATAGCTCCTGGCAAATCACCCTTTCCTTTCCTGAGTGGAGCTTTCTAGCTGTTTAGAGCCCTTTGATCTGTTAGTTCCCAGCATTAGCAGGACAGCAGGGTCATATTAGCCTGGAAGTAGATTATTGTCCTGTAATTGCCCCCTCCCCCCCCCGATGTTTGCTCATCTACAACTATTGTGTGAAAAGAAAAGGAGGACTTGTGGCACCTTAGAGACTAATAAATTTAGTCTCTAAGGTGCCACAAGTACTCCTTTTCTTTTTGCGAATACAGACTAACACGGCTGCTACTCTGAAAACTATTGTGTGGTTTTCCTGTTTGCTCTCCCCACAACCCCCACTCAAGCTTTGTCAATGCATTCGTACAGGAAAGACTTACAACGCAACATACAGTAACTTCCCCTCACTGCCTAGTCCCATACAGTGTTCAGAACACTATTACAGCAGTGTTCCTGGATTATTACACAGCACCTCCTCACCCATCACACTGTGTCATTGAGATCACGTGCTGGTCCCACTGCCCCGGATGGATGCTGACAAATTGGAGGGAGTTTAGAGAACAGCACTGAAAATGGGGAGGAGACTGGAGGGATTGGGTTCTGAGGACAGACTGAAGACGCCATATACATATGTGTATGGCACCCATGGGTGTGCAGTGCCCTGAACAGACATGATGAGTCAAACGAGCCTGCAGTCTAACGCGGGTTGATCTAACATAGCAGGGACTCCATTCTCTCCATGCTTGCCCCAGTGTCAAGCAGGAATAATTCCGCTGAAGTCACTGCTGTAAAACTAAAGGAGTACTTGTGGCACCTTAGAGACTAATGAACGGAAGCTCAAGGTTTCCCCCTCCTCTGCTGATTTCCCTCCTAGCAGAGTAGGTCTCTTGGCTCTGGATTTCCAAAGGATTTCCAGCCAATATTTAAACCGAAGGAGCTTAGCGACTCTTAAGGGTGATGTCTAACCTACCTCCCAAATCAAGGCCCGGATCATGACACAGCTGCTCTTAGCCCTTTGCTAGTGCTCCCATGCCAAACTCCACCCCTCTGCTGTCAGGCACTGAACTGATAAATACAGGCTAGCTGGTTAGAATCAACAGAAAATCAACATCCCGAAAGCCAAGCACCATCATGAATGCCCTGGGCCTAGGGTGTCTCCTGCTTCTGGCACTGACAGGAACCATCAGTAAGTACTCCTTCAAAAGAGATGGGTCCCTCCTCACTTTAAACTATTCAAACTGCTACAGTCTCTGAAGTTCCTGGCATGTTAAGGGCATGAGCTAACTGTGTGTGCATGGAAGAATCCAAAGCTAAAGGACTACACAGAGTTGTAACGCTATCACAGCCTCTGGGTCTTTGGCTAGCACTGTCCAGGGGAGGACGCCTGCCTTTGTGAAAGCAGCTAGGGTGATCAGACTCAGAAATCTGGAGGAAGACCATTGGGATCGGTTTGTTTTGCATGCGGCAGGAAAATTGCTCAAGACTTTTGAGGCAGGGAGATCGTTCCACTGGGTCAAATTCTGCTCTTGTTCCCACCTATGTAAATCCACTGAAGTTCAGGGGAGTTACTCAGAACTTACGCCAGTACAACTGAGAGCAGAATATGGCCCATTTATGAACAGCATCTCCTGGGAGCACCAGCAACCCCAGACCAGGGTGTCTTCACTAAATTGGGATCTCACAGAGACACGCTCCACATGGTCCGGCACTAGAAACAAATGGGCCCAAATTCATCCCTGGGGTCACTCCACTGACCAGTGAAGTCGGGGGGCACTGCTGAAGTTGTCCCTGGAGTTCTCCTCTCTCCTGGCCTACACAGTGCTTATAAACTCCCAGGGGAGGATACCCAAGTGCCCTGATTATAGCAGCAGGCCGGGGCCTGGGGAAAAATGACAAGTCACCATTCAGCCCCTGGCAAACAGCAGCAGAGAAGGCCATGGGCATTGTGTGCTAATCACTGGGCTTGGACTGGAGTGACCCAGCATCAGCTGAGGCAGAGAGACACTGAGCTAGTCCACCCCCCTTTCCATGATGCTCACGTTTGCACAGCAGCTTGCGGAGGAGGGGAAGGCACCAGAGATGCTGCTCCCAGGGAGTTCACGGCAGCTCCCCGGGATCTGAGTCTTTCTGTCTGTCCAGTCTATTTATGAACCCAAAAGAGTCAGGAAACTCTCCAGCTTGTGAGATCACACCCTTGGTTTTGGAACATTCCAGGTTCCCAAATAGCTTGTCCTGCTCGCCTCAGACTTTCCAGAAAACCCAGGCGTAAGATCACCCTGTGGAATGTCAGACAGACTGCTCTAGTTTTGGTGACATCTGTGTGCATGTCAAAATCAGGTTTGTAATCTGAGCCAGACACTACCGGCCCAAGCCAGGGCCCCAGCTCCTGGAGTCAGAATCTCTGCCTTTTAAAATGTCCTTGCGGATGCACAGAAAAGGTTGAAACTGTGAGCCAAGCGTAACTGGCCCCTGCCTGAGTATGCAGGCTGCTTGAAATAGTAGCTCCAGGAGGTGTGACCTGCCCCATTCGTCTTATTGCTGAAATCTTCTGCCACCTTCTCAAGAAGGGGTGAGGCCATGGCATGGCCATGGGGTGGGGGCCATGATGGAGGGGCAGGCATGGGGCCATGGCAGACCCACATGGGATGTGTCTTGGATTGCTTTAATTCAGCCCTGTTTATAATGGAAGGGTAGATTCAACCTCTTTTGCTGAAAATTGCTCTGTTCTATTCATTCCCTCTGATGCATCTGGCACCGGCCACCATCAGAGACAAGATACTGGGCTAGATGAACCATTGGTCTGACCCAGCATGAGCGTTCTTATGCTCTTATGTGGAGGCACGTTTCTCCAGTTTAACCGTGTAGACAGGACCTCTTGCCACCATATAGCTCCTGAAGGAGAAGAGTGCGGATGAAGCTGTGAGTGTAAGTGATGGGAAGGCAAAGAGCCTTTGGTTACGGGACTGACAATTGAGAGGGTTTATAGTGCATTTTGTTAGTAGATCTCAAAGCACTTTACAAAGGAGGTCAGGCTCATTAGTTCCATTGTGCAGATGGGGAAACTGAGGCACAAAGCACTGACATGACTTGATCAAGGTTACCAGCAAGTGAGTGTGAGCCGGAATGAGAAACAGAGGCCAGGCCTAGGAAAGGAAGGATTATTTGGTGGTTACAGCACTAGACTGGGATTTAGGTGACCTGGGTTTAGTTCCTAGCTCTGCCACAGATCCTGTGTGTGACCTTGGGCAAATCACTTAAACTCTCAGATCCTCAGTGCCCCAGCTGTAAAATAAGAATAATAAAACTTCCTTCCTTCCACCATCTGTCTGCCTTGGCAGGGCTACCTAGAAAGGCACTCTGTCTGTGTGTCTACTCTCTACAGACTTGGTACATGGGGCCCTGAACATGGTTGGACCTGCTAGGTTTTACTAGAACACAAAGAATGGGAATTGGTTGGGAATTTTGCAGTGTCATGGGTATTCATCAGAAAATGCTGATGAGCTGAAACGGAAACTCTGCAGAAAAGGGTCAGTTTCGAACAATTTTTTGACTTGAAAAAAATGTGGAAGAACGTTTGGAAATTGTCAGAGTCTTTTGTTCTGACCTCTTCCAAACAACAAGTTCTGGTTTTCCACTGCAAAGTGACTTTTCATTTTGAAACGTGAGCTATAGTTAAAAAAAAAAATTAAAATGGCCAAACCAAACCGTTTAATCTTTTTCAGATCACAACATTTTTCCCGATTTCAACTTTTTACCCTGATTCAGGACGGGACATTTTTTTCAATTGTCATGGGACAAGAAACCCATTTGCCACCCAGCTCTACAAATTACAGCCCAGTTCTCCAGGCACTGCACCCCTCTGTCTTAAAGGTTTAGGCTACATCTGTTGAAGAGGCCAGCTGTCCTCAGTTAGGGGCTGATCCAAAACCCACTGAAGTAAGTGGGTGACTTTCCACTGAGCAGACCCGAGGTGCATCCCAGCCACTGGACGTTAAGAGTCCCGTAATATGGCAGATGCCACCTCAGTTCCCCCTTGTGGCCAAGGGTCGCTCTGTGGCACCCTGCCTCTATTTCCCCCCCTCTTTGCTGGGAACCAAAGACCGACCTCACTCCCTTGTTCCAGGAACCCACCACCGGACATAGCTCCACTCATCTGTGGTCCCTCTCTCCCCAGGCACAGCCTGCCCCGATCCCTCCTCTCATAGAATCATAGAATATCAGGGTTGGAAGGGACCTCAGGAGGTCATCTAGTCCAACCCCCTGCTCAAAGCAGGACCAATCCCCAACTAGATCATCCCAGCCAGGGCTTTGTCAAGCCTGACCTTAAAAATATCTAAGGAAGGAGACTCCACCACCTCCCTAGGTAACACATTCCAGTGTTTCACCATCCTCCTAGTGAAAAAGTTTTTCCTAATATCCAACCTAAACCTCCCCCACTGCAACTTGAGACCATTACTCCTCGTTCTGAGAACAGTTTAGAGCCATCCTCTTTGGAACCCCCTTTCAGGTAGTTGAAAGCAGCTATCAAATCCCCCCTCATTCTTCTCTTCCGTAGACTAAACAATCCCAGTTCCCTCAGCCTCTCCTCATAAGTCATGCACACAGACCTTTATAGCCTCGGGTGTAGCCCTGCCCCTTTTAATTGGCTCACACGGGCCCAGCTGTTCTGATGCAGCGGCACTGGCCGCGGTCTACTCAAAGGGACCAGCCCCCATTGGTGCGCGTGTCCAGCAGCAGGACAGAAGGGCAGCGTGTTGTCTTACGAATTCGTCCCCCATCCCATGGGGTTCCCAGGCAGTGCAGCATGGGTACGGGCTCTGGGCCCTCCGGCGTGTTTTCTTCAGCTGCTGCTTTCTCCCTGCCCAGGTGCCCAGGCGGTCGCTCCCGTGAGCACCTGGACCTGCGCGAACCGGAGAGGGTACTGCCGCCGCTTCTGCCTTGCCCACGAGGTACACATAGGCCACTATGGTTGCCCGCGGCGATACAGGTAAGACGGGGCTGCGTGGCCCAGCTTCTCCTGGCGTGGGAGCGGCCCCCTGCTGTGTGTGAGGAGGAAGAAATACACCGGTAGGGAAGGGATGAATGGCTTTTCGCTGCCTGTGCCCGGGGTCACTATTGGCCCAATGGCCTCGGAGAGCACATGTTATGGCCACCGTCTTGGCTGGCACACCGGGGGTTGAACCAGGTACCTCTACAAGAAAAAGCATGAAGTGCTCCTGCTTGAGCTAGAGAGCCAGCCTTCCACAGCTGCCGGCTGTAAGAGGTTCATACCCTCTGCAGATCAGCAGCCAGCAAGTGTCACGGTTTCAGGGTACCTCCCCCCTCTGTGGTCCACTCCAGGAGGGCCAAGTGAGGTCTCAGGCCTCCAGCTGTCACCTGTCTCTGGGCAGGGCCCCTCCTGACTGTGGGGTTTAAGGCTGCACATCCCCCTGCCCTACTCTGTGATACTCCCAGCAAGCCAATCTGCCTAAAGGCCAACATCTGGGCTGTACTGTCTCTCCAAGCTATGACCCCCTATATGCCAGTAGTTACAAGTTACCACTCTTTCTCAGCAGAGTACATTTATTCTTCAGGTAAAAGCATCCCAGAAAAAACATAAAAAACAATCAGTTCCTACACGCTTAGTGAACATGCCAGAAGTCACCCAGCAATCTTATGGAGCCCTATAGACCACAGACTTTCCAACCCTTCAGCCAGGGTTGGGAGTCCCCGGAGGCCCAAAGATCCTGTCGATTTGCTAAATCCAAAGGAAGGCCCCTGAGTCTGTTTAAATCCAGCCCTTTATACCCAAAGATTTGCTTTGTCTCCCAGCCTCCTGCAAACAGGTAAAATCAGGCCCTCTCCTTGTCCCCTAGGCTGTCACACTTCAAAGCCATCATGGGGATTTGCATTACTTGCCCCAGACTGATTCCAGGAACGCACAATACACATCACCTGTACTGGCACAAAGGGCCAAGGATATTCTACAGCTGACCCAGCTCAATCTAATGGCTTTTTGAGGTTTTTATGCTCTCAGTGTTAAAAACATAACGGTCCCCAAAACTACTGCAGGGGGTTGCCATATCTGTCACCGGGGGGACCCAGAAAACACAATCACCAGTGGGCTACATAGGCAAGGCCTGTTCTTTTATTTACAGGTGCTGCGTGCCAAAGATCTATCTTGTGGAATGGACCAAGCCCAGAAGTGCCAGATCCATATCAACTCCCCCCTAGGTGTGTATCATGTTTCCCCCCATTCTCTGGTTTGGCTTGTGCTTCAGCCTTTTAGCAAGTGACATTTGACACTGTAGCTGGGCTACCTTGCCAGTCTCAATCAGTCGATTCAGGCCTGATTCAACTCCCATTCAACCTACGTCTTTCCATTTCCTTGACTTTAGCAAAGCTTTTGACACGGTCTCCCACAGTATTCTTGCCACGTTAAAGAAGTATGGGCTGGATGAATGGACTATAAGGTGGATAGAAAGTTGGCTAGATTGTCGGGCTCAATGGGTAGTGATCAAGGGCTCCATGTCTAGTTGGCAGCCGGTATCAAGTGGAGTGCCCAAGGGTCAGTCCTGGGGCCGGTTTTGTTCACTATCTTCATTAATGATCTGGAGGATGGTGTGCATTGCACCCTTAGCAAGTTTGCAGATGACACTAAACTGGGAGGAGAGGTAGATATGCTGGAGGGTAGGGATAGGATACAGAGGGACCTAGACAAATTAGAGGATTGGGCCAAAAGAAATCTGATGAGGTTCAACAAGGACAAGTGCAGAGTCCTGCACTTAGGATGGAAGAATCCAATGCACCGCTACAGACTAGGGACCGAATGGCTCGGCAGCAGTTCTGCAGAAAAGGACCTAGGGGTTACAGTGGACAAGAAGCTGGATATGAGTCAACAGTGTGCCCTTGTTGCCAAGAAGGCCAATGGCATTTTGGGATGTATAACTAGGAGCATTGCCAGCAGATCGAGGGACGAGATCATTTCCCTCTTTTTGACATTGGTGAGGCCTCATCTGTAGTACTGTGTCCAGTTTTGGGCCCCACACTACAAGAAGGATGTGGAAAAATTGGAAAGCGTCCAGCAGAGGGCAATAAAAATGATTAGGGGTCTGGAACACATGATTTATGAGGAGAGGCTGAGGGAACTGGGATTATTTAGTCTGCAGAAGAGAAGAATGATAGGATTTGATAGCTGCTTTTAACTACCTGAAAGAGGGTTCCAAAGAGGATGGATCTAGACTGTTCTCAGTGGTAGCAGATGACAGAACGAGGAGTAATGGTCTCAAGTTGCAGTGGGGGAGGTTTAGGTTGGATAGTAGGAAAAACTTTTTCACTAGGAGGGTGGTGAAATACTGGAATCGATTACCTAGGGAGGTGGTGGAATCTCCTTCCTTTGAGGTTTTTAAGGTCAGGCTTGACGAAGCCCTGGCTGGGATGATTTAGTTGGGAATTGGTCCTGCTTTGAGCAGGGGGTTGGACTAGATGACCTCCTGAGGTCCCTTCCAACCCTGATATTCTATGATTCATTGACTTGAATGGGAGTCGGATCATGCCCAGGAGTTTGATTCTTCCACCCTTACTCCCTGGGGGCTGCCTCATTCACTGCTAAGTATGGGAGTATGGCTGGGCCATACAGGGACTTCAATTTTTAGTCGACTCCTCACTGATTTCAATTAGGACCCAGATCAAGGCCCAATTGTGCTAGGCACTGTACACACAAACAGTGACAGTCCCTGCCCCAAAGATCTGATAGTCTTTTGCTTCAAGACAGATGGTACCACAAGGGCCTGTTTTATTAGCACTAGGTTAATCAGTTTAGTCAGAGATGGCTCACTGTATATTTTCCACTTTCCTTGCAGAGGGTAAGAGACATGAGACAGAAGAGTCACACTTTGTCCTGATCATCGATCACTCACACAACTTTTAGGAAAAAGATTCATGATGTAGATTTGGGCTGAGATTCTGATTTGGTATAAATCTGGAGTAACTCCACTGAAGACTGCATTTACACAGGGGTGGGTGAGATCAGATGCTTCTGGCCCTTCAGACACACACAGAAAACAAATCTGAGAGATGTAGATGTGGCAGAGCAGAAAATACTGTAAAAAAACAAACCAAAACATGGCTGATAGGAAACCAGTTAGTATCGGGAGAGAAGGGAACCAGGAAGGAGTCTGGGGCCATCATCCATCAGTACAGATGGAAAGAGAAGAGTCTGGGTAATGGGTAGATATGATTGTCGAAGGACTGCAAAATACTCCCTACAGGAGAATTTTGATTAAATTTGGGGATTTTCCCATTGATTTGAAACACACATTTTACATCTTACGTTGACATGTCAAAACATTTCATTTCAATCAAAAATCCCCATGTTTTTCATTTAGATTTTTCCAAATCAATTTTAACTTTTCATTCCACAACACTTTCAAGAGTTCAACTTTCTGTCCCAAATCGGGATAAACACAAACAGCAAAATATCAGAATTTCCCATGGCAGGAGATTCCGTTTTCCAAATAGCTTTTGCCACAACATGGGCTCTGTCCACACAACTAGAACTGAGCCATCACAAGGCTAAAAGTTGTAGCATCACCGGAACACGCCCCCCATTACCGATTCAGCGCCATGAACTGTCCAGAATTGTAATAAATTTTGTGCCATTTCATGGGCCTGGGGCACCAATGTACTTCCGTCCCTCTTGTTCTCTGCCTATGGCACACCGTATTAGGCTCTTGATGGTTGTAATGCTTTGGTCTAATTCTGGCTGTTGGGTTTGGGCTTGGCTGGAGTGTTGATCCTGCTCTTATTTATCCCCTAGCATAATCCCCATCAAAGTCAATAGGGGTTGTAAAGGCTTGGATGCTGATTGGGCCAACACATATGTATGGTTTGTTTTGTGTCAGATCCTGGTCTCAGGTACACTGGTGTATATCAGGGGTAACACCACTGATGTCCATGGAGCGACTGCAGGGTAAATCCAGAGTCCGGGCGCGCAGAATCTAGCCCTGCGTGGCTTGTAAAACTGCTTCAGATTGGCACGCTGGGGCTTGCTGCCATGGACTCCCATAGCAGCAGAATCGCTCCCACTGCCTCCGGGTGTATTTTGCCTCCCACACATGCACACTCACAACTCTCTTCTTTTGTCTGTTTGCTTGGTTTGCAGCCAGAATGCTGACACAGCACTGAAGCCATTCTCAGCTGAAAGCATGTCTGACCTGGCTTAATGGGGCGAGGGGCTGTGCAGTGGGTGGCTGCCGTCTATTCTGCTGAGCTTGGATGACTGTCTAAAAACAATATACACCAGCACAGCCAAACTGGGTTCGAACTAGCACAGACCTCAAAATAAAAAATCAAGCTAAGGGAGGGTGTGTTTGTTTGTTTCATTGCTCTCCTAGGAGCGTAAGTATGTGGCATGATTTCCATTTCAGAGGGAAATTAAGCCTTGAAATGAGCTTTCAAAAATCAGCACTTTTTTGTGTTTGTTTTTTGTAGCAACGGAGTTAAAGATGTGGGGACAAACAGTTAGAGCATTAAATGGAGTTAAGTGGTGACTAGAACTCACAGCCTCCTGCTCCAAAAGCTCAACACCCTACCATCAAGCTAAAGAAAAACCTGTTAACAACACAGACTGACATAGTTGAACAATTCCTATTCCATCCATTAGCGGGCAATAGTGATATACACACACATACTATCCAGCTCACTACACTCCTAATACCTTGCACGTAACACCTCCCATCTGAGGCGCTCATAGCAATTTACAAGCTTGAATGAATTCAATCTCACACCTACCACCCCCAGAGTGCAGCAGGTAAGTAGTATTAGCCTTATTTTACAGATAAGGCAGAGAGGATTAGAAATATCAGGATGCTGCTTTTGCTGGAGAACTCTTTGGAGGTCTGAGATGTGACTGAGATCTTCCCAAGTCCTTAACTGAAAGGGCAGAGTGCTGAATCTTTAACAAAGAGAACTTTTCTCCTCCATGGATCTCGGGCATTTGAGTTAACTGGTTATTAACAAAACCAAACAGGCTGAATAAAAATCATTGCCCCTCTCAATCTCTTTTATGCCACTGTGATGGCAGGAACCTAGTAGGTTCTCCAGTTGTCCATAGTAGTTTACCCCACCATAGCTAGGATGGTCTGGGGAGTTTGGGTTGGATGGAAACAGCGAGATTGTAGCTGTTCAGCTGGAAGGCCCAAATGTCTGACTCAGTGTGGGGAGGGGGTCATCAAATTTATTTGAACCACCCTGAAGTACTTACAGAAACTCCTCGCTTAACGTTGTAGTTATGTTCCTGAAAAATGCGACTTTAAGTGAAATTATGTTAAGCAAATCCAATTTCCCCATAAAAATTAATGTAAATGGGGGGGTTAGGTTCCAGGGGAAAAATTTCACCAGACAAAAGACTATATTTTACACACACACACACACACACACACAGTATACGTTTTAAACAAACAATTTAATACTGTAAACAGTACTGATCATTGTGAAGCTTGGTTGAGGTGGTGAAGTCAGAGGGTGGAAGAGGGGGGATATTTCCCAGGGAATGCCTTACTGCTAAATGATGAACTAGCACTTGGCTGAGCCCTCAAGGGTTAACACATTGTTAATGTAGCCTCACGCTCTGCAAGGCAGCATGAACGGAGGAAGGGGAGACAGCATGGCAGAGATAGACAGAGATACACACTGTGTGTGTGAGAGAGAGACACGCATTGCCCCTTTAAGTACACTGACCTCACTCTAAGTACATTGCCTTTTTAAGTAGATCAGCAAGTTGAGACAGCAGGTGCTGCCAACCAGGGCCGGTGCAAGGATGCTTTGTGCCCTAGGCGAAACTTCCACCTTGCACCCCCCTCCGCCCTGAGGCGCCCCCCCTGCGGCAGCTCCCCACCGCCCCCCCACAGCCCTGAGGCGCCCCCTCATGGCAACTCCCGGCCTCCCTGAGGCGCCCCCTCTGCAGCAGCCCCCTCTCCCCTCGGGGAGCCGCGCGGCAACTCCCCTCGGCCCGGGGAGCCGCGCGGCAACTCCCCACCCCAGCTCACTTCTGCTCCGCCTCCTCCCTGAGCATGCCGCTGCCACCGCTTCTCCCGCCTCCCAGGCTTGTGGCACCAATCAGCAGTTTGGCGCCGCAAGCCTGGGAGGGAGAGAGCAGAACGGGGCGGCGTGCTCAGAGGAGGAGGCAGAGCAGAGGTGAGCTGGGGCAGGGAGCGGCTCCCCTGTGCACAGCCCCCTCCCCCCCCGTTACTTGCTGCAGGCGGCCCTCCCCACACCCCGCTGCCCCAGCTCACCTCCGCTCCACCACCTCCCCGGAGCGTGCTTTTGGCGGCCCCCAACCACTTGCCGCCCTAGGCAGCCACCTAGTTCACCTAGTGGTTGCACCGGCCCTGCTGCCAACAAGCTCCCTCCGTCCTGAGCCCTGTCGTGTCCTCCCCTGCTCTGTGGCGATGGGGGGGGGCAGGAGGGGAACACTCTGTCATTAGCACCCCTCTCCCCTCACCCACCCCCACCTTGCCCAGCCAGCAGGAGTCTCGGGGAGTAGCTCCAAGGCAGAGGGCAGGAGCAGCACATGGCAGTGGGGAGAGGGACAGCTGAACTGCCTGGCACTTGATAGCCTGCTGGGTGGCTACTGCACAGGGAACTTAGGGGAGCGGGCAGCTGATAGGGGGGCTGCCGGCCCACTCTGGTTCCAAGCCCCCACCAGCTAATGGGTTGTTCTTCCTGCAAGCAGTGGACAAAGCAGGCGGCTGCCAAATGACCAGTTGTCACGGCATGTGGGGGAGTCCAGGCCCTGCATCCCTCTTCCTGGGATTCACTGAGACTCTCAGCCAGCCAGTGAAGCAGAAGGTTTATTGGACAACAGGAACACAGTCCAAAACAGAGGTTGTGGGTACAACCAGGACCCCTCAGTCAAGTCCTTCTGGGGGAGCAGGGAGCTTAGACCCCAGCCCTGAGGTTCCCTGCATTCCTCCACCCAGCCCCAAACTGAAACTAAACCCCCACAGCAGGCTCCCTGCTGCAGCCTGTGTTCACATTCCTGGGCCAAGGTGTTACCTCTCCCCCCCCCCCCCCGGCTCAGGTGACGGGCTCTCAGGTCTCCCATCCCCAGGGCTCATTCCCAGGTCAACACTCCCCTCTCCCTGCTGCGTCACATCTCTCCCCCCTTCGAGACTGAACTGAGCGGGGTCACACTAACCAGTGACCTGGGGTCGTTTGGGGCCCCCTCTCCGGGACAGCGCGTCCGCTATCATGTTGGCACTTCCCTTCACGTGGACCACGTCCATGTCGTAATCCTGCAGGAGCAAGTTCCATCTCAGGAGTTTGGCGTTGGTTCCTTTCATCTGGTGCAGCCAGGTCAGGGGAGAGTGGTCGGTGTACATGGTGAAGTGTCGCCCGAAGAGATAGGGCTCTAGTTTCTTGAGGGCCCTCACCTTGGCCAGGCACTCTTTCTCGATGGCCACGTAGTGTTGCTCCCAGGGTAGCAACTTCTGGCTCAGGTACATGATGGGGTGTCTCTCCCCCTTTTCATCCTCCTGCATTAACACTGCCCCCAGTCCCGTGTCTGAGGCGTCGGTGAACACCACAAAGGGCTTGTCAAAGTCTGGGTTTGCCAGAACTGGGCCACTGATCAGAGCCTCCTTCAGCGCCTGGAAAGCCTCCTGGCACTGCTCGGTCCAGACCACCTTGTCTGGCTTCCCCTTCTTGCATAGCTCAGTGATGGGCGTGGCTATGGCGCTAAAGTGGGGCACAAATCTTCGGTAGTATCCAGCCATCCCAAAAAAGGCTTGGACCTGCTTTTTGGTGTGGGGAGTGGGCCAGTCTCTGATCACTTCCACCTTGGCTGGTTCCGGCTTTAGGTGGCCGCTCCCCACCCGATGGCCCAGGTAAGATACTTCAGCCATCCCCACCTTGCACTTCTCCACTTTTACAGTCAGCCCAGCCCCCTGTAGTCGGTTCAGCACTTGTCTAACCTGGGACACATGGTCCTCCCAGGTCTGGCTAAAGACACAGATGTCATCAATATACGCCCCGGCAAAACTCTCCATCCCCCTCAGTAGCTGGTCCACTAGGCGCTGGAAGGTGGCCGGCGCTCCCTTGGGGCCGAAAGGCAGGGTCAGGAACTCATAGAGCCCCAGAGGGGTGATAAAGGCCGATTTCAGCCGGGCATCTGCACCCAGCGGCACTTGCCAGTAGCCCTTTGTAAGGTCCATGGTGGTAAGGTACCGAGCTCCTCCCAGCTTGCCTAGGAGCTCGTCCGGCCTGGGCATGGGGTAGGCATCAGATACAGTGATGGCATTGAGCTTCCGATAGTCCACACAGAACCGGACCGACCCATCCTTTTTGGGGACCAGCACCACCGGCGAGGCCCAAGGGCTGGCAGATAGCTGGATCACCCCCAAAGCCAGCATGTCCCGGACCTCTCTTTCCAGGTCCTGAGCAGTTTTCCCTGTGACTCGGAAGGGGGAGCATCTTATCGGCGGGTGCGACCCTGTCTGCACCCGGTGGACAGTCAGATTAGTGCGTCCAGGCTGGTTGGAAAACAGCTGTCGGTACGGATGCAGCACCCCCCTGACCTCAGCTTGCTGGGCAGGGGTTAGCCGATCCGAGAGGGGAATTGTTTCCAGGGGGGAACCAGCTTTGGTCCCAGGGAATAGATCTACTAAAGGGTCATCTCCCTGCTCCTCCCACTGTCCACACACAGCCAACACATTCCCCCTGGCATAATATGGCTTCATCATATTCACATGGTACACCCGGCGGTGGTGCGCCCGGTTCGACAGCTCCACCACATAGTTTACCTCATTGAGCTGCTTGACAACCTTGAAAGGGCCCTCCCAGGCGGCCTGTAGTTTGTTCTTTCTCACGGGGATGAGAACCATCCCCTGATCCCCGGTGGCGTAGGCACGGGCCCTCGCCGTGCGGTCATACCAGACCTTCTGCTTCTTCTGGGCTCTGGCCAGATTCTCCCTGGCCAGGCCCATGAGTTCAGCCAGTCTCTCTCGGAAGATCAGGACATACTCCACCACTGACTCTCCATTGGGAGTGGCCTTCCCCTCCCACTCATCAGGTCCAGGGGGCCCCTTACCCTCCTTCCATATAACAGTTCGAAAGGCGAAAATCCGGTAGACTCCTGGGGCACCTCCCTGTATGCAAACAGCAGGTGAGGTAAGTACTTGTCCCAATCCTGTGGGTGCTGGTTCATAAAGGTTTTCAGCATCATCTTTAGCGTCCCATTGAACTTCTCCACCAGCCCATTGGACTGGGGGTGATAAGCTGAGGCCTAGTCGTGCCAGACCCCACATTTCTCCCACAAGCACTGGAGCAGGGCCGACATGAAGTTGGACCCTTGGTCTGTCAAGACTTCCTTGGGGAACCCCACTCGGCTGAAAATGGTCACGAGCGCATCTGCCACGGTGTCTGCTTCAATGGAAGCTAAGGGCACTGCCTCGGGGTAGCGGGTGGCGAAATCTACCACCACCAGAATGTATTTCTTCCCCGACCGGGTCGTCTTGCTGAGAGGCCCCACGATGTCCATGGCCACCTTCTGGAAAGGCTCCTCTATGATGGGCAAAGGTCTCAAAGCCGCTTTCCCCTTGTCCCAGGCCTTCCCCACCCTCTGACAGGGGTCACTGGATCGGCAATACTGCTGGACCGTGGTAAAGACCCCGGGCCAGTAAAAGTTCTGTAGCAACCTCTGCCAGGTGTGCCGGATTCCCTGGTGCCCTGAGAGGGGGATGTCATGGGCCAGGTACAGTAGCTTGCGGCGATACTTCTGGGGGACCACCAGCTGCCTCCTGATCCCACAGGACTCCACTTCCCCTGGGGGAGCCCATTCTCGGTACAGGAACCCCTTCTCCCACAGGAACCTCTCCTGGCAGCCTCTCCTCATGGTCCGTCCCACACTGAGGTCGGCCAGGTCCCTGAGCTTCCGCAAGGAGGGATCTTTCCTCAACTCGGCCTGGAACTCAGCGGCTGGGTAAGGGATGGGGCCCGGTTCCCCCGCAGTGGCCAGGTCTGAGGCCTCCGCCTCTCTGAGCCGTGCCCCTCGGCTCTCCCTCCCCACCAGGATAGCATCCTGCGCCTCCGGTGTGGTACCCTCCCCAAGGTCAGGGCACAGTGCCCATCGCCGGCTCTGGCTGCGGGTAACAACCAGGGCAGTCTGGGGCTTGCTTGGCCAGTCCTCTAGGTCTCCCCCCATCAAAACCTCAGTGGGCAAATGGTGGTGTACATCTCGGAGGCCAGCCCAAACTCACGGAGCAAGGCCTGTTTGAACAGTTCATAGTCCCCTGCCTCCGCCACGTCACACGTTAGAAGGGAGCATTGCGCAACTTTAAACGAGCATGTTCCCTAATTGTTCAGCAATGTAAGGTTAACCAGGACACGGTTAAATGAGGAGTTTCTGTACTTAGTCCTTAATTATCTACTGCTGGGTTAGAGGTTGTAAGTTTCAGACCTTAAATACATACCTGCTAAGGCCCCATTTCTGGTAGGGGACATCTGATTTCATCCCCTGGGTGGTCTGGCTGAGTCTCCCCGTCCCTCTGCTCTGCCGTGTTGGGAACAGGAGACAAGCAGAAGGACTGAGAAACCAGCACAGTTGGCTCACCCAACCAGCAGCTCCAGCTCGAGACGCCTTGCTCCAGGTGCAATCATCACAGCCCGTTCTCAGTTCCACGCAGCCCAACTTCCGCAGCGAATCAGCTGAAGAGCCAGAATTAGAGCCCAGGCCTCCTGCCTTCCCATCCCACGCTCTGACCCCAGGACAACTCAGCCTCCGAACTGAACGTAGCTGCTGCCACCCTGCAGCAGTTACACAAGCAGAACCACCCCATGAGGGATACAGGCATCAGCGGAGAGCTTTATTAATACCCACTCTTTCGGAGATCAGTGGTGTAACTGTATCGTATGTAAGGCCTTTTGTTTTAGACAGTCACAGGCTCAAGCAATATCTTTGCATGACGCAGAAAAGCATTCAGACAGACCCCGAGCCCTCATTTGAGAGAGAGGCCAGTTTTTGGCACAAATCAAGGCATGCTTTAATAGAAGAACATCTGTTAATACTGCTGTGCAGCCCCAGCCTGCAGCCGCTGTGTTCAGTGGGGTTGGGAATCATGTGTTGCTTTCATCTGCTAACATCCAGCTCAGATTACACCATCCCTCCTCCTCTTTTGCAAGGGAGGGCTCGACCCTGCATTTGCTCGAGCAGGCATTCAAAGCACCAGGGGCCTGACGCCAACAGCCATCTTTGTGGAGATGAATATAAAATATGGGCCGTGTTCTCACTTTAGGTGCAAAGAGGCTGCACATTGCGTTTGTTAAAGGAGACGAGGAATAAATAAAACAAGCACAGCCGACACAGACCCATGCAGAGAAAGATCCTTACTAATGAACCATGGCCACGTACAGATAGAGGCGCCGGGGCTACCATTGTGCATCAGATCTGGATGCACCAGCACCAACCACGCACCCTGGCCTCATCAGCAGAGAGGATTTAACGCCTTGTGACTCGAGGTGAATAGCTGTGATAGTTGCTGGGACCAACCACTGGAGGGAGACATGGTTACATCCTCTCAGCCAGTGAATGGACAGTCAGCAGTTTGAGTTTCTAAAATTAAAGCTCCGTTCAATGTATACAAATAGGTTTTGCGTGCTGCTACCCAGCACAGGAACAGCTGAGGCTGGGAGCAGGGCCATGGCTCTGGGTGGGGGGACATGGACGGGGTAAGGGGGCTGAACCACAGCTGGGGGTGAAGCCCCAGGCTCGGGGCCAGGAGAGGACCCCGAATGTGGGGCTGGAAGCAGAGGCACGGGGCTGGCAGCCAGGACGCCGGGTGCAGGGCCAGAAGTGGAGCTCCATGTAAAACTTGGGGGTGCTACAACACCCCCTAGTTCCTGCGCCTATGAATTGATGTGATTCTAACCAGCTGGGGGCAGTGGTGGCCATTAAGCATTTCCATTGGAAGGGCATAAGAATTTTAGCACAGGCCCATGGCGCACCCACCCTGACAAAACAGTTGTCACGACGCCACGGAAATTATTACACTCGGTCGTTGAGCCAGCATCTGCTCATTACTGACTTAACCAGTGCTACGAATTACACCTTGTAGGACACACACACCAGTGCTACGAATTACACCTTGTAGGACACACACACCAGTGCTACGAATTACACCTGGTAGGACACACACACCAGTGCTACGAATTACACCTGGTAGGACACGCACACAAGTGCTACGAATTACACCTGGTAGGACACGCACACCAATGCTGCGAATTATACCTGATAGGACACGCATAGTCCGAATCTAGGCTGAGGCACAGAAATAAAGTCCACAACTGCAGAGTTCCCAAAAAACACTAAATTTATTACGCTCGAGCGTGGTGCCCCCCTGCTAGCCAGGAGGGGACCCTGAATGCAGATTATACAAAGGTTATATACCTTTTAGCAAAGCATGTTGCCCTCGTGCATCGGAAACCTTAGCCAATAAACAAACCCTTGTCTTATCTACCACCTATCCCTGCTTGGTGCATTCCTCGTGCTATACCAGTATGTTAATTACACAGCATGGTCCTAAAGCCATGCATCAGTAACTTTTATTATCAGGATGGGAGGCCTCACATCAAGGCCAAGAGACAGGGAGTTAGAGACTGACAAAAACCAGATACTGGGAGTCAAGGCAGGCTGGAGACAAGGAGGAGGATTTTCACAGGGATTCAGTATTTAAGGATTACTCCTCCTGGTGTATGATGTGCTGGCATTTAAACAATGGTGGGCCCCAAACCAAAATGGAGTCACATGTGTTAACTTTTCCTTAACACCAGACATCACTGGGTCAAGCAGACTCGGGGGCCAGATTCACCGACACTCTCCAGCTGTCCTGGGCTGCCGGAGACATGCAAATTGGCCAGTGGGGAATGAGTGAATCTAGCCCTTTACATTCCGTAGTCACTCTCTTGCTGAAGGTGTTTCATGGCAAGGGACCCAGACGATGCAGTGAGCGATCAGTGCCATTACAGAACTGGTGGCAGTTGCTACAAACAGAGAACCGATAAAAAAAAATAAGAAACAAAAGCCAATTCATCATCAGGTGATTAAAGGGATTTTCACAGGGCAGCAAAGATCCTGCAGGGACGGATTTCAAAATAATTGGCCTGATTTTCATCTCGCTTATGCCTGGGATTTCCATCAGCTTCTATGAAACTGTCATTTACACCAGAGCAAGTGAGATCAGAATCAGGCCTGCTAGCTCACCAAGAAAGATTTGGGGCTAGATCCTAGAAATACAGGTAGCTTTACTTGTGTGAGGAGTCCCATTGAAGTCAATGGCACTTACTCATGTGAGTAGAGTTAAGCAGGTGGATGAGTGTTTGCAGGTTCTGCCTCTGTAAAGGCTAGATATGTACAGCTTGGCTAAGTGCTGACTAAGGGTGCGGGGGGAGAAGAAATAAGGTAGCTGCTTATAAATATGTAATACTATTACTTACTGATTTTCCAGTAGCATCAAGAGGCCCTAACTGAGATCAGGGCCCCATTTGTTATACAGACACATGGTAAGAGACAGGCTGTGCTCCAAAGAGCTGACAGTTTAAACAGACATGACAAAGGGTGGGAGGGAAACTGAGTCACAGAGAAGCAAAGTGACCTGACCAAGGTCACCCAGGAGTTCAGCAGCAGAGCCAGGAACAGACTTCAGGTCCCCCAAGTCTCAGTCCAGCACCATAGATGCTACACCACAGGGCTTTCTATAACTATTTTCAGGAGGGAGAGCCACAGGCTAATCCTGGGGTCTCTGGCACACCAGTAACACAGCAGAGATGCTGCACAGCTTGGGGCTGACGTGCACAGACATGATGGGGAGTAGCGTTGGCGTCTGCCTCCAAGCTGGTGCCTGCTTGCTCCCCAGGGCAGAAGCGACACTGTGGTGTTGATTTATGAAGGGAGGGATGTGCATGCTCCTGGAGCAGTTTACAGAGCAAATGAACAAACAGCTCACTCGCCCACACACCAGGTACATCGGGACTCGCCCAAGGAGAGGAAATACTTGAACAACTTCTCCAGCTGACACTGCAAAGCATGCTTTAAGGAAGCTGCTTGGATTGTTCCCTGAACTGAGAAATGGCCAAGATGCTAAACTACTACTCCTGCAAACATGGGATCTTCAGTGACCACGTGTGGTCACGTTCTTAGTATCTCCTTTAATAAGACAGCACCGGTGTTCTCTCTAACTTTTCCCACCCATGTGTGGAATGAATTTTGTCATGTGTCACACATCACCTCCATATTGGTGCACATAACAAAATTCATGTGGTGGAGGTGGGCCGAGGGGTTCAGAGTGTAGAAGGGGGCTCAGGGCTGGGGCAGAGGGTCGGGGTGCGGGGACGCCAGATGGGGGTGCGGCTTCTGGGATGGGGCCAGGGGTGAGGGGTTCGGGGTACAGGCTGCCCCGGGGCTACAGTGGGGAGAGAGGACTCCCCCTAGCTCTCTCTCCTCACAGCAGCACCTGGGCTGGGGAGAGAGGTGCCTCTCCCCACTGCAGCAGGTCTGGGTCTGGGTTGGGTCTGGGAGAAGGGCATCCCTCCCACCAGCCACGGCAAGTCCGGGCTGAGTTGGGGCCAGAGGAGGGGTGGCCCGGCCACGGCAGGTCCCAGCCGGGCGAGATCCACGAGTGCCTGTGGGACACTCAACAGGCTGCTGCACGGCCGCGCAGCTTACGGGGAACTTAGGACAGCACCCCCAGCAGCAAAGCACATTTCCCCCTCCCCTTCCCTGCACCCAGAGTGAGTTCTCTTTTGTTGTAGTACAATTCTTAATGGACGGGCAGTCTCAGCAGAGGGACCAAGGATCGACAGGTCTGTGGAGTACGGACTGAGCAGTCCTCTCTCTGGGCCAGACCCTCAGTTGGTGTAACCTGTGGAGCTGATTTACACCAGCAGGCGTTTTGGCCCCCGGCGGTGGTGCATCTGGCTCAGGGTGCTGGTACATCAGTAGGACGGCACCGGAGAGGCTGGCAGGGCTGCCCGGGCTGTGGCCAAGTTCTCAATCTCAGATGGAGCGACGGATGCTTTGCTCCTCTACAAACCAGGCCCCAGGAAGTCCCGGACCTTGAACCAGAGACACGCGAAAGAAGAGGCTGCTTTCGGAAGCCCACGCCTCATGGGGTGGGGATCTTCCGGGGGGAGTGAGCGTGTGTCTCTCTCGCTTACTCCCCCGGAGGACACCGCTAGTTGGATTTTTGCTTTGTGTTAGGCTGCTGCTCCAGGGAGCGGGGGGAGCCTCTGCCCTTCTGGAGATCCTCAAAGCAGAAGAGCTGGAAGGCGATCTCCTCACATGCGTAATTCACCCCGCACTCAAACAAGCAGCCAAACAAGAGCACCGCTGGGACCTCCTGGCACACGGCCAGGTCCGAGTAACCACACGGCCCTTGGTACAGGAGCCAGGGGTGTTCCCAGGTGGCCTCCGTCAATGGGGAGCGGTTGAGGTAGATGCCCAGGTCAACCCGCTTGCATTTACCCGTTGGGTGGGAGTAAAGCAGCCATGACATGGTGCGTCTGCAGATATCGGAGGCGGCATTCCCGCTGTTCAACGGGCAGGTCATCTCATGGGCTGGGGCGTCTGGCCCTTCTGCGCCATCCGCCTCCAGAAGCCCCGGTGTCGGTGTGAAGCTCACTATGCTGCCCTGGCAGCCGTCAGGCGGCTCATACAGCTTCTTGCATGAGGAGGGGCTCTTGAATGTCAGCCCCTGGTCTGTGCTGAGCGCAGCCGCCCGGCATCGGCACGGGGTGCGGGCGTTGCAGTACAGGACGGGGTCGCAGGCCTGGCCTGCCACCTCGGCCACCTGGCACTCCAACGTCTTCATGTCCTTAATCAGCTCGCCCTTGTGCCAGAACTGCCCGCCGTCATCACTATAAAAGACCAAGGACCGGGGCTGGGTCCAGCAGCGCAGCGGCAGGCGGCAGCAGCGAGCGGTAATGTGGTAGACGTAAGCCGGGATCACCAGCCGCCCAGAGCGGAGCTGCACCCCATGCCCCGGCCCCACTGCAAACGTGGCCCAGTCCTTCAAGTCTTCCCCAATCACCTGCTCCGTCAGGTCCGTTACCAAGCTCCAGGTCCGGCCGGCGTCTCTGCTGCAGACGTAGCACAGCCGGGCGGCGTTCTGCCCAGTGCAGATCTGCCGTTGCTCTGAGATGCGCTGCCTCACGCAGATGAAGAACAGGAAGACGGTCTGACTCTTCTGCTCGTACACCGGGCAGGGGTTCATCGGGCGGTGAGCCGGTAACGCTGCACTCGTCAAGGGCTCCGTGGGCCCCCACTGCAGCGGGAGAGAGGGGGCAAGAACAGGTAGGTCAGAGGGGTAAGTGAGCAGGGTCCACTCCTCAGTACATCAGGATGACCATTCTGTACTGCCGCCTCAGGACTGGATGGGCCATGGAGCTCACACTTCGCCCCACCGCCACGGGGAGCTGATGAGTCCTCAGCACTTCTGAAAACCAAGCAGGTGCCAAAAAGGGGCTCTCAGAGCCTCATTTTAGGCTGTTGGTTCTGCCTTCCCCTAAGGGAGCAGGGGCTGGGCTGCAGCAGCTCCCCTGAGGGCTGCACTGGCTTCTGCTTTAGTGGCTTGGCTCTGCTTTTCCTCCCTGTGTGGATCCAGCCAGACACAAGCTGGCTGCAATTAGAGACAAGACACGACACATGCCAAACACACAGTTGCTAGCTCCGTGGGACAGGGACTGTCACAATCCCAGCCAGTTCCCCGGGCTGGCCCGGCCCACCCTCCCTCTCCTGAGCTGCTCTCCTGGACGTTTACACTCCATTTGGAGCGAGCCTCCCAGCCCAGGTCAGCAGTAGGGTTGCCAGGCATCTTCCCCAATCATATTCCTTAGGGGTGCGATCCTGCAAGGTGGTGAGCAGCCTCAACTCCCTCCTCACTTCAAAATGCAGGTAAAGGCCCCCGGTACCTCATCGGAGCGCTCTGCCCCTCACAGGATCTAGCCCTGCCCGGTATCATTAGATACTGGGGGGTGAATAGCCTGGAGTGCAGATATCCAGGGAGAGGCAGCACCCCGGGAAGCGCTAATGCTGAGACACCTTGGGCTAAGAGCGGCAGCAAGCAAGGGGGGTCTCCAGGGAAACAACGAACAAGGAATTACCTCGACCGAAGTCCCTGTCTTCCGACCTCGTCTCAGCACCAGGTACTCAGTGTCCTCATCCTTGGCAGAGGAGCGCTTCTCCGTGAACGCCAGGAGCGTGTCTGTGGGGATATACAGCAGTGCGGGGATCCGATAGGTGACCCCACTCTGCGGATCCCGCTGGAAGAGAGTCACCTTCCCAGAGCTCATCGAAGCCTTGATCATGATGTCTCGACGTACCAGATACCTCAGCTGGGAGAGAAAAGGCATCAAGGGGGTTAAACCAAAACTAGCTCCGGAGTGTCTCTCAGCCGCAGAGCTACACCCACCTGCTCAGATAGGAAACATTACTGGGCTCCTTCTTTCCCCATCCCTGCCATAGACTCACTGCATCAGGCAACCAGCTCAGGGATCAATGCTGCAAGGGGCTCAGTGCAGACTTAGCTCCTAATGATTTCAATGAGAACCGGATCCGGTCCTGATCCGCGAGGGGGGGCTAGGACACTGAGTTAGGGCCAAATTCTGCTCATTTATGCCAGAGAAATTTCTGGCTCTGGGTTTACATGAGCGTGACAGAGATCAGAACCCGGCCCCCATTGCCTCCAAGTGACAAACAGGGGCCTTCCTCCAAGCCCAGATTTTCCCAGCACCAGCCCAGCAGTAATGCAGTGCAGTAATTTACCGTCAGCAGGTGCCTGCCCCGCTGGAGGGGATCCCCGCAGCGCTGTCTCCAATGCAGACCGGCTCTGGAGTCTCCCTCCTGGCCTGGCTTTCTGCTCTTTCCAACGGCGAAGGGGGCAAACTAGACCAAGGAACCAGAAACAGCAAGAGAAGTGAAAGTAGAAGCTCTAACCTTGGCAGGGATTCAAGCCCTACTGAGCCGAGCCCAGCCCAGCCCCCCAGCCCCACTCCTGCAGACACTGCTTGGCCCAGGATTACTGCTAAAGAGACGTGCTACAGTGCCCCAACCCCCAAAAGGCCTCCACACTGTCTCCAGTCATGGCGAGTCCCCCCAACAGACCTGGCCCCCCGCCAGTCCCCATTGCGCGGAGTCCCGCCCCGCCCCATCAGACCTGCCCCCCCACTCCTCCATTGCGCCGAGTCCCCCCCCCCGCCCCATCAGACCTGCCCCCCCACTCCTCCATTGCGCCGAGTCCCCCCCCCCCCCATCAGACCTGCCCCCCTCCTCCATTGCGCCGAGTCCCCCCCGCCCCATCAGACCTGCCCCCCACTCCTCCATTGCGCCGAGTCCCCCCCACCCCATCAGACCTGCCCCCCCACTCCTCCATTGCGCCGAGTCCCCCCCGCCCCATCAGACCTGCCCCCCCACTCCTCCATTGCGCCGAGTCCCCCCGCCCCATCAGACCTGCCCCCCACTCCTCCATTGCGCCGAGTCCCCCCCCCACCCCCCCCCCCATCAGACCTGCCCCCCCACTCCTCCATTGCGCCGAGTCCCCCCCCACCCCATCAGACCTGCCCCCCCACTCCTCCATTGCGCCGAGCCCCCCCCGCCCCATCAGACCTGCCCCCCACTCCTCCATTGCGCCGCGTCCCCCCCGCCCCATCAGACCTGCCCCCCCCACTCCTCCATTGCGCCGAGTCCCCCCCGCCCCATCAGACCTGCCCCCCCACTCCTCCATTGCGCCGAGTCCCCCCCGCCCCATCAGACCTGCCCCCCACTCCTCCATTGCGCCGAGTCCCCCCCCACCCCAACCCCCCCCCCACTCCTCCTCCCAGCCCCCCCCCCATCAGACCTGCCCCCGCCGCCCCTCACCGCAGACTCTGCTCCGCACTCACGGCTCCGCGGGGCTCGGGCACCGCAGGGCGCGGGGAGCAGCAGGGCTCGGTCCCTGCCTGTCCCCGGCTCCCTCCGGCTGTCTCCTCCCACGGCCGGTGTGCCGCTGAATCGCTTCCCTCGGCACCGGAGGTAAAACCGAAGGTGCTCCCGCTAGCTGCCCAGATCCTGGCTGGTGTAAAGCCCCGTGAACCGCGCGGTCCCAGGGGTGACCCCGGGCCAGTCCTCGGGCTCAGCCCTTCTCACCCAGCGAGCCCCAGCCCGGTCCCAGGCCAGCAGGGACCGCTGTGATCATGGAGCATGGCCTCCGCCGTCGGCCCGTTACCCTCCCTATTCGATATTTCCAGCTCTCACGGGGCTTCACAGCAGGGGTCAATCTCCTGGCCCTTCCCTGGGAGATCGATAGGAAAACGGAAGCAGGGAGCGGAACCGTGACCTGCCCCAGGTCTGGCAGTGAGTCAGGGGCAGAGCCCGGAATAGAACTCAGTCCTGGGGCTTGTGCTCTAAGCATTAGCCCATACTGTTTCCAATCCCGTGTGCTGGATTTTCACGGCATGCGCTTGGCCTCTCAGCTGCACAGAGAAAGCCCCAGCGCTGCTCTCCCCAGACAGGCAGGCTCCCACCGGCAGGCCCCCACTTCTCTTCCCCCCCATTATCCTGTAGCACCTCTCATTTCCACCCCTCAGTCTGTCCCTCCCTGATTCCCTGGCATCTGGCAGTCTTGCTCCGCCACCTAGTGGACCTTCTTCATGTTGAAGCACTTGGAGGAGAGGAAGGTGATCAGGAACAGTCAACATGGATTCACCAAGGGCAAGTCATGCCTGACCATCCTGATTGCCTTCTGTCACGGAGTCACCGGGCAATGCTCTGGAACTGCTCCATACGAAGCCAGTAAGGACTCTGGGGGAACGTGTCTCCTCTGGGAGCAGACTGTCTCCAGGGCAAGAAGCTTACACAGCTTTGACCTTCCTGAGTCTGACCTCGGAGCATTCAGCATCCCCTTCCACACTGTACGCTTCCCACAGCGAGTCCGCACAGGCGGGGCTCCCGGGGAAGCCCGTGTGGGCCCTGCACCTCAACTCTGCAGTCAGATGTGATTCTCAGCCAACCAGTAAAACAGAAGGTTTATTAGACAACCGGAACACAGTCCAAAACACAGACCCAGGTCTGGTCCACACTCCCAAAGCTGCAGGCTTTAACCAAAAGCGGCGGGGAACCAGCTGAGCAGTGAGGGACAGCAGAGCAGCAAACAGCAGGAGTTTGCCTGGGATCTGTGCTGGTGAGTATCTGGGTATCTGAGTGTGTGTTTGGTGAGAGGATCGGAGTGTTTGTAGTGAGGGCAGCTTGAAAGTTTGAGTGAGTGCTTGATTGGTTGGCTGAAAAGGGCGGGAGTTGGGAGTGTTTGTTTCAGGTGAGCCTGGCTGTTTAAAAAAAGCCGGCGCTCCACAAACGGGTAGGGATAGGATACAGAGGGACCTAGACAAATTGGAGGATTGGGCCAAAAGAAATCTGATGAGGTTCAACAAGGACAAGTGCAGAGTACTGCACTTAGGACGGAAGAATCCCATGCACCACTACAGACTAGGGACCGAATGGCTCGGCAGCAGTTCTGCAGAGAAGGACCTAGGGGTGACAGTGGACAAGAAGCTGGATATGAGTCAACAGTGTGCCCTTGTTGCCAAGAAGGCCAATGGCATTTTGGGGTGTATAAGTAGGGGCATTGCCAGCAGATCGAGGGACGTGATCGTTCCCCTCTATTCAACATTGGTGAGGCCTCATCTGGAGTACTGTGTCCAGTTTTGAGCCCCACACTACAAGAAGGATGTGGAGAAATTGGAGAGAGTCCAGCGAAGGGCAACAAAAATTATTAGGGGACTGGAACACATGAGTTATGAAGAGAGGCTGAGGGAACTGGGATTGTTTAGTCTACGGAAGAGAAGAATGAGGGGGGATTTGATAGCTGCTTTTAACTATCTGAAAGGGTGGATCCAAAGAGGATGGATCTAGACTATTCTCAGTGATAGCAGATGACAGGACAAGGAGTAATGGTCTCAAGTTGCAGTGGGGGAGGTTTAGGTTGGATATTAGGAAAAACTTTTTCACTAGGAGGGTGGTGAAACACTGGAATCGGTTACCTAGGGAGGTGGTGGAATCTCCTTCCATAGAAGTTTTTAAGGTCAGGCTTGACAAAGCCCTGGCTGGGATGATTTGGTCCTGCTCTGGGCAGGGGGTTGGACTAGATGGGCTCCAGAGGTCCCTTCCAACTCTGTTATTCTATGATTCTATGAAAAACTGCTCAGCAAGTCACCTATCTCCAGCACCCAGACACCCAGTTCCCAATGGGATCCAAACCCCAAATAAATCTGTTTTACTCTGTATAAAGCTTATGCAGGGTAAACTCATAAATTGTCCGCCTTCTATATCACTGATCGAGAGATATGCGCAGCTGTTTGCTTTCCCAGGTATTAATCACTTACTCTGGGTTTACTAATAAACAAAAGTGATTTTATGAGTATAAAAAGTAGGATTTAAGTGGTTTCCAGTAATAACAGACAGAACAAAGTAAGTCACCAAGCAAAATGAAACAAAACACACAAGTATAAACCTAATACATTAAGAAACTGATTACAGGTAATATCTCACCCTCAGAGATGTTCCAATAATCTTCTTTCACAGACTAGACTCCTTCCTAGTCTGGGCTCAATCCTTTCCCCTGGTACAGTCCTTGTCAGTTCCAGCAGACATCTTTGGCCTTGGCTCCACTTACAGATGTACAGCGCTGTGAGTTAAACCCGCCTTCGTACAGCTGAGTAGGGAAAGTGCTGCAGCCTGTCCACACTGTCAGCTGCCAGCGCACTATCGTGGCCGCATTTGCAGCGGCAACGGGAGCGGTGCGTTATGGGCAGCTATCCCAGCATTCAAGTGGCTGCAACGTGCTTTTCCAATGGGGGCGGGGGTGGAGTGTGACAGGGAGCGTGGCGGGAGAGAGAGTGGATGTTTGGGGGGCTGAGAGAGTGTCAGTGTGTTGCCTTGTAAGTACAGACCCTCCCCTCCTTCCCCCGCTCGCTCTCACTCACCGAAAGCAAACGGCAGCTGTTTCTTTTTTTCTCATAGACGAGATAAGCAGCTGCTCGCCGAAAGGGTCCCCAAACCCCCTCCCCGCCTCTCTCTTCAAGTAAACATTGGCTGTCGGCGCTCCAGACGGAGCCCCCTGCCTGCCTCTCACTCATTCAAAGCCAACAGTGGCTGTGTTTGGTTTTTTGATAAGCAGCCCCCGAAACGGAGCTTTGAAACGGCACTTCCGCACCCGGAGTTCACAACAAAACAAGAGAGGATGCTTCAGTTAAAAGGATTATGGGGACTTTCCGGAGGTCAATCCGTGCGTAATAACCTTACTGCCCATTTACACTGGAGCTGGAGCTTCTCAGCCAATGCGCAACAGCTGTTAATCCTCTCGGGGAGGTGGAGTACCAGGAGCACTCCAGCCAGGGAGTCAGAGCGCTCTCTGTGCCTTGCCAGTGTGGATGGTGTTAGCCGACGGCCAAGGATGTTTGGTGAGGTGCCAGCTATGCCTGTTTATACCATCCGTGACTTTAACCGCTAGGACGCACTGTCCCTTCGCGGCGGGCAGCCCGGGCTAGGCTGACGGATGCCCCAAGGTCCTAACCACCCGTGACTTTAACTGCTAGAGCTCAGAGCTCCTTCGCAGCGGGCAGTCAATACTGACTGACAGGTGCCCCAATGGCAGCACTAAGAGCCTCTCCACACCCGTGACTTTAACTGCTAGAGCTCAGAGCTCCTTCGCAGCGGGCAGCCAGGATTGACTGACAGGTGCCCCAAGAGTTTGCCCCGTGGAGGCGGCACAACTCAATGCTAGGCTCTTAGTACTCTCACCTAATGGCCAGGCTTTAGAGCCAAAACAGCTGAGGTTCTTTAATTGTGTTGGCTGCTTTACAGTAAACCAGAGAAAACAAGTCAGGCTTATGCATAAATGGTTACCAAAATTTATTAAGCTAGATTCTAATCATGTGGTTACAAAATTGCTAGTGCCTACTTATTTAAATGTAGAGATGTTACACACACAAACAAGTTACAAAACTGAAGCCACAATCCCAAAGAAAGAAAACAAAGTATAGAGCTCTGTTTCAAAATATGTGTACACTAAAGGTAGGAGATCAGGTGTGGGGGTGAGCTTACCCTTCTTACCCTCCTTGCATCTCTCGATTCCAGCGGTGCCAAGCCAGGATCGGTCACTCAATTCCGCGGAAAGACGAATAAGGGACAAGGCTTAGGGACCCTCTTAGCTGCAGAAGCCTTGGGAGGCTGTCACTTATCTGACCAGCAGATAGATAGTGAAAAGCACTCAAAAATCATGGTGCTGTAGGTCCCCTACTTATACCTCTGTACTCCTTTATTCTCTTTCTCCTTTCTTATGCCAAATTGAGGCTGGTCTGTCTGGGTGACGCCAGCTTTCGCAAGAGTAGTTTACACTTGCAAGGGAGAGAAACAGTAAGTTTCGACTACTGGACATTTCTTTTATCAGGGTAAATATTTTCCCACCTAGGATGTTGGTGTGTGTGCATCACGCTATTTAGTAGGGGCTAAGAGCCATGTCTGTCACAGGGCCTCTGCCTGCTGTGAGCTTAATCGTTGTATCTGCTCCCAGAGGCACATTGTAGCAGCTTCAAAGGCTGTGCTGGAATATATGTTAAGTGCCCTGTTCCTGCTTCCTCCTGTGTTTCCAGCAATGCTGGTCTGAGGGGGGGGAGGGGGGGGGCTGGCTGTCTGGCTACATTCCACCCCCTGATGCACCACACTACATCCCAGATTGCAAGGTGGCGGTGATGCCAGCACCTCTTGCCCTCCTTGGGGAAATCTAGAAATACCCAACAACCAAATTAGAGGATGAGGGTTCGCGGAATTGGTTAGGATCCCTTTTTAGCTCTGGGTATCTGATTTGCGTGGAGGAAAGAGCAGTTTGAATCAAACGCTTCATAATACATAAAGTTACACAAAAAACAATTACAATAATTAAAATGGTTAAAACAGTATTCACAACCGAATGTAAAAACGGGGAGAGGGAAAATCCCAAGTGTTGAGCTAACCATTGCATCCATGAGGTTTGTCCATTCTCAGCCACTGCATGTAGTGGTACAAATTCAATTCCCAGTCCATTGGTTGAATCTAGCAAGGTGCACATCCAGCAATTTGTAGCACCAGCAGCTGAGGCGATGGTTTGGATTGCTCCCCGAAGAGGATGTTCTGGTATTGCCAAGGTGACTGGAGCCAACAGAAGGATCATGAGGGCTTGCAGGAACATATCTCTGGTGGGTCGTGTTCTAGCTAAAAAACTTATTTTAAAACCAAAAGCAAAAATTACACCTGCTATTATAAGTAATGGCAAATATATCAACAGTCCATAGTAGTCTCTAGTGATCAAACAGGTCTGCTGCATGGTCCATTTTGCTGACAGGTTAGCTGGCAGGTTGCTCGGAACCATGGCACCATTCCTGCAATAAATCACATGGTCAGCCGGTCTTGGATGCGATCCAAGCCTCTGTAATGGTTATTAGCCTTTTATCAGCATTTAAGGCACTCCATACACCTTTCTCTTTATAGGCATGCAAAACACAGGTAAAGGTTCCCAGGGCTGGGTGTTTAATCACAACAGTGTCTCCGGGAGCATACTTGGAACTGTGCAGTGGTGTTCTGGCAGGGGAGATAGCTTTCCCTGTAGGGAAGAATCCCCTGCTGATTGGACTTCCTGTAGGAGTCTGTCTGTTGTTTAATCTCTGCACCACTTCGTCCAGTCTGTCTCCCCATGTGCCATCAGTAGGCTTCAAGTGATTCTTTAGCAACCCATTCCAGCGCTCGACCATGCCATTAGATTGAGGTCGATATGGAAGGTGGAAGGTCCATTGGACTCCATGGTTAAGGGTCCATTCCCTTACAAGTTTATTCTTAAAATGCGAACCATTATCTGATTGGATTTCTTGAGGCATTTGGACAATTGCTGTTAAGCGGTTTAGTCCCATAACTGTGGACAACCCTGTTGCCAATCGGGTTGGATATGCAAAACCAATCCCTGAAACAATTTCTACCCCAGTCAAGGTGTATTTCCACCTCTGCCTTGTAGTGGGCAGTGGTCCGACATAGTCGACCTGCCAGGTTGCCCATAGTGTTTTTCCATCTCTTAGCCTGGCAAACCTTTGTCCTTCTGCTATATGTTTTCTAGTCTCAGCACAAATAGTGCAGGCTTGCACCAGGTCTCTAGCCTGTCTGTGGGTGATAGGCCACCCCCTGATATGTGCTTGCCGCACTAACTCATCACTTCCTGTGTGTCCTAAATTATCATGTAACCATGAATATAAGCGTTCCCATTCTACTTGTGTGGTAAAGAGCTGGGCAGCTGCATCGGCTAAATTGTTTAACTGTGCAGCTGGGGTATTATTCCTCTGATGAGCTGAGACATGTCCTATAGACAGGGGTTGTTGCAGGCCATGCTGATATAACCACTTCCAGTATTCCAGTCCCCAGACTGGTTTACCTCCTATTTCCCAGTGGTTATTTTTCCAGTTCGTGATCCACTGAGTGGCACCTGCCCACACCGCATAGGAGTCCGTATATACTGCGGTGGCTCCTGCTTCACAGGCCAGTTTAATTGCAGCCAATTCTGCAAGTTGTGCTGACCCATCAATTTCAGCAGTTAGGGGTGCTGCAGAGGTGTCTGCAGGCACTGCTGCAGCTTTTCCCTTCCATTTTCCTTTTACCAGCCTGGCACTGCCATCAGTGAACCATACTCCCTCAGGCTTAGAAGGATCAAATGGGGCAGCATCCTTAATGGGAGACTGCTGTGGAGGTAGGCGGTATTCATCAGGCATTCCTACTTTCCATAGGGATTCCTGAATCATAGTGGGGTTCTGTGCAGTGTCTGCACTCCCTACCCTGTGGTGTATGTAAAGTGCCCATCTTTGGATAGTCATCTTTTGTGCTACACCAGGTGGTAACTCTTTCCCTTCCAATATAGGTTTAATGATTGGAAGAGGAGTGTGAATTGTGATGTCCTTATCCTGAGTTAATTCCTCAGTTTCTCTCAAGGCTGTGTAAGCTGCCAGAAGCACCTTCTCATAAGGCGTGTAGTTAGCCTGTGACCCTTGCCATGACTTGGAACCAAACTGAATTGGTCGTCTGGGAGCAGTGTCACTTTCTTGCCAGAGAGCATAAGACATTCCAGTGGCTCCCACAGTTAGGTACAAATGGAATGGGGCTTCAGGATGTATGGGACCCAGAGCCTGATAGGTGTGTATCTCCCCTATCAGTTGCCTGAGGGCTTCCTCATGGGCAGGAGCCCATTCCCAGGCAGCACTTTTCTTTAACAAATTGTACAATGGTCTGGCTATAATGGCAAAGCCAGGTACATGTTTTCTCCAAAACCCCAGGGTTCCCAAAATCTGTCTCAATTGATCTTTACTTTCAGGGGAGGGTGCCTGATTTAGCTCTTGCACAGTGTCATTAGGCACAGACCTCCTACCTCCCATCCATACAGTACCTAAGAATTTTATCTCTTGGGAGGGACCTTGGCATTTCTCAGCTGGTAACTCTAAATTAAGGGCTTCTAGTGCTCCTTTGATTTGATTCATAGCCTCCTGTACCTCTTCTGAGGTTTTCCCACCTATTAAGATGTCATCAATGTATTGCACAGTTTGTACATTGGGTGGCAGTATAAGGTCATCTAGGACCTTTGCCAGTGCCCCATGGCAAATAGTGGGTGAGTGTTTAAACCCTTGTGGCATTCGGGTAAAAGTGTATTGTACACCTTTCCAAGTAAAAGCAAATCTTTCCTGGTCAGCTGGTTGTAAAGGGACCATGAAGACCATGTCCTTTACATCTAATACTGCTAGCCAGGGTTTATCCCAGGTTTGTATGGTGTTTACAATATCTGTTATGCTAGGGACTGCTGCAGTTAATGGTCCA